AGCAGGTCAGAATGCACAGCAAGTTGCCCTCACTTGAATATTCTTCTCTCCAGCTGTAAAACCTAGTTGAAACATTGGCAAGGGCATTCCCAGAATTGTGTGTATTTCATCAGGGTCTACAAATGGTAGACAAGTTTCTGGCAGGAGAGTCCAGAGAGAAATTTACTGTTCAATAGTGGTATCAAGTTAAAAACAAGACCCATGGTGGGTATTTCATGAGGAAAAAAAGAAATTGGGTTCATGTGAGATTTTTAATATTACCAAAAAAAAAAAATCACCTATAGTTAACTAAAAGGCTTTCAGCTAAAAGACTGCAAAGGAGGTGAGTTATCTTAAATGTGTTATATAACCACAGAGATGAGGTCAGTTGACTGAGTTCATAGATGAAATTTATTAAAAATAATCCATCCTCTACCTATCCAAAGAAAATAAACATTCTTTAAAATTTCTTAGGACTAAAAACTGAGATTTTTCTACCTGTGGTAATGACATAAGTGCTTAGTGCACAGATTGTTAGCTCTTCTCAGGTGCCTTAGAAGCTTCACTACTCAAGTTAAAGAATATTCACATCTCAGCACAAAACAGATGAAAACTGCTAAGTCTGTAAGATTAATAGTAACTTAAAGTTGTCTGCAAGACTAGAAGCAAAAAAAGTCAAATAACAGTTAAAGGAATCTTCAGTTTTCTTTCCTAGATATACTCTGGAAATCTGTAGATTCAGTTTTCAAAATTAGAAAATGAATATGTTTGGAAGCATATGGAGAACGGATTTTTTTTTTTTTTCACATCATGTACATGAGACAAATTGAAAGCGGAAAACTCAGGGGAAAAAGCTGCAGTAGATCAAAAACTGCAGATAACACATCAAAACCCAAGAAATCTGGCAGAGAACACTAATTTGAAGACAAAAGTGGAAGGAACTCAAACACAAACTTATCTTTCAGGAAAACAAGTACTTGAATTTAAACTGGCAGGATGTCAAAATATTAAATCACCCCAGTAGCTCTATCTGGAATTTAAACAAAGTACTGAAGTGAAATGCCATTTTTACTATTTCATTTAGGAAACATTTCTTCATTGTACTTATTGCAGTATGAACATACAAAATACACATTTGAGTACTTCATCTCCTCTGAAATTTTTAGAAAAACTTTTCAAAATATATAAAAAATAAGGAGAAGAAATAACAGCAAAGGTTATTTTTATCAAAGGGTCTGTGCCCCAGGACTGAAGTTAATTCACTTTTTCATTTACTACTCCTCCTTAGCCCCACAAAGTAAGCACAGTCCAATCCTGTAACTAGAAGACTAAAGAAAATGCTTAACAAAAAAAAAAAAAATCAGCTGAATGCCTAGAAAGTTCAAGGGGAAAACATCCAACTAGACTCTCTGGAAGTTATTAAAAGTAATTGCTGGTACCCACTATGAAGTTATAAATTCTTTTCTTTACATTCATTTCCAGGAATATACACTCAAGACTACATAATACAAACTAATCAGGGTACTCCAGATGTAAACAGATTCATAAGCACTTTAACAGCTTTGTCTAGAATTCCTTCTATTATGCATGAAGCCTATGAATTACTTCATAAACTTCCTTCTCCAGTAATAAAAAATAACAGTTCATTAAGTATAATTACTATCTCAACAATTTACATTTTTCAATTTCTTTGTTTCTAAAGCAGAGCACATTTCCCAGCAGGAAAAAAAAAGTTTACAGCCCTCTTATCATAGTCAATTTAAATGAGTATTGTTCTGTCCAGACTATATTCTCTCAGCTGACTTTTTATAAAGGGTTTCAAAATTCAAAAACAAACTTCAATTTAACTCCAAAAATTTGTAATTATCAACTTTCTACTGTTCTGAGCATCTTCAGTTTGCAAAGCATGGCATATAAACAAGCACAAAGTACTGTACTGCAGAGCCTCCTCGTCCACAAGCACAGGTGAAAAGCTGACCTGACACCTGAACAGCTTTAGCAAGTCAGACAACATGAACCTGCACTTGAAGGTTATGACATAAGGGAACAAATGAAACAAGGAGGGCAGAATTGGGAACTTGCTCACAGGCATTAAGCTGAAATCTTACTTTTGGGAAAATAAGCAGAGAGAGTACAAAAGTACTCTCAGCAGTTCCAGGCACATGATTACTGCCACTGCTGACAACTTTTTGGAGTTTATTGGGTTACTGCTGCTGTCAAGGTGCCAAAGCAAGACATTTAGGAACGTGCAAAATAGTCTGAGGATTAGGAAATTAACTGAAATTGGCACTATCACTTCTGGCACAAATCTCTTCAGCAGTAGAGCTTCTATTCTACTTTTTTAATTTATGACCAAGTTAAAAATATCCCTACTGCCAAATTATTATAAGACTTTACCCTGAAACCTTGATCTGTACAGTTAAAGCTACTCACATGCACATGAAGTCAGTTTTTTCCTGCTCTTATTTAGCTATCTCAACGTTCCTAGAATGCCTTTTGGCAATGGTTGTGAACTTGGAACAGCTGTCCCAGCTTTAGTGCTCTACACTCAAGGAATGCATCTCTGCTGTTCAAGGTAAGACACACACACACCCCAAAGCAAAGTGTGTGTGGGGGAAGCCAAGTAGTATATTCAGTGAACAGGAAAAGATATATTACACAGCCAGACCCACCTGTAACCAGCACAGTGGGTTTTCACTTGCAGCTTACTCAAACATCAATTTGCTGTAAATATTTGTGTGCAAAAGACCACAACAGGAAGTATAAACACGGTCATGAGAAAAACTATGACAAATTCATAAAATGAAGTGGTTCAGAGCAATGCAGTCACAAAGAGCAAAAGCCAACAGCTTCAAGTGTCTTTCCTGGTCAAGAATTTGGATAGGCTTGCTCTTATTACAAAGGGAGAAGAGGAAGGAAGGGGGGGAATTTTACCCAGGATTACTTTAACTTGAAAGTATGCACTACAGAGAGAAGAGTGGAATAGTAAACCACTCAAAGAGGACACTGTAAAAATTTGGGCAAAGAAAACCTTGGAATACAACAAGTAAAATGTGTTTCTAGAAACATTACAATACACATTCTGTATGACATCTACCATTATCAGGCAAAGAATTTTTAGGGCTGACATACCAATACTAAACAGAAGCAAACAAGAAACAAGCTCCATTTTTCTGAACACCATGTAAATTCTGTTTTCACATGTGTTGCAGAGAGATGCAGAGTCATTGTGTTTCAAGCTACCTGTAGTTTTCCCAGAGCAGAACTCCTTCCCACTCTGACAACTCTGCAGCAAGTTTACATCTGCTTGCCAGCCAAAGAAACAAGACATCAAATTTACAGTAGTTAGTGAAAGACTTATTTTAGCAAAAGTGATAGTGACAGCTGGTGAGTTCTCTTTTATTATTCTTCACAAAGGTATGTTTCCTATAATGCACAAATATTTTTTAAAATTTTACATTACAGCATATTGACATTTCCTTAAATACAGAAACAGTTTTGATGACTATCTGCTTTCAAATCTGTCATAACAACACATTCTTCATTCAAATAGCTGTATAATAGCTTCTGCAAAGAAGTATCTCTGTTGCTAAGGGATACTGAAAATAAACCCCTTCACAGGTCCACCAAAAAGAACAGCATCTAAAAGCAAAAAGCACACATTCACCTGACAATTTCTTCCACAAACACTGCACCAGAACCTTCAGAGGTCCCACAACTTCAAAAATGAGATGCAACTCTTCACACCCAAATGACTACCATTTACCAGTATGTTGCCAAAAATATTTAAGCATCTATTCTAATGTAAGTTAGACTCAGAAACATTTTAAATTTGGTTGTAAGGCCCTATTTTACCTAGTTTAGTACTTTAAAGTGTGACACAGCAAATTTACTACACTACACAGATCACTATCAGCACACGATTTTCCACTGTCACATTCATAACCATTCATTTTAAGTGAGAATTAATACACACTTGTTTTACAGCCATTTCCACGGTTTTGGCTAGGGCCGGGAATAATTTTGGACAAGCAGGGAAGATAGTGTGAAAGAATGCACTCAATATTCAGTTTTAACCTCCCTGACCTGCACGCCCATATAATTATGAGGCTCCAACAAGAGCCCATTACCTCTCTCCCTTCCCTAGGAGCGGCCCTACTAGCCAAACCCGTGAGCCAACAGGAAGCAAGCAACTCATGCAGAATAATCCTTCCAGCGCTGCTTACCTGGGGAGAAGACCCTGGACATGGCACAGCCCCCCGCTTTCCCCAAGCGCACAGGCGCTGCCCGGAACAACACCGGCACGGGGTGACAGGCGCAAACATGTTGTGTTTACTCTGTGCAACACGCGGGGCATTTCCCCTCATCCCGGCCTTTCGGGGGAGGCACACGGACGAGGTGAGGGATACCAGCAGGGCCACCACGTCTGTCCCGTCTGTCCCGTCCCTTCCCGGCCCCGGCCGGCCGGAGCCGCCTGGCTGGCGGGCGGGGGCTGCCCGCTGCCCTCCTGCCGCCGCCTCGGCCCCGCTCGCTCCCTTGCCGTGTCCCTGGGCCGCGGGGAACCCGAGCCTGCCCCGCCCCGCCTCGCCTCGCCTCGCCCCGCCCCTGCCCGTACCTGCGCGGGCGGTGCCGCCCGCTGATCCCCGGGGAGGCGCTGGCTCATCCTCCCTCCGAGCGCCAGCGGGACACGGGCGCAGCCCCCGGACCCGCGGCCGCACCGCCGCCCGGCACCGCCCCCTCGGCCCGGGGAGGGCGGGGATTCCCACCGCGCAGAATCGGCGCCCGTCGGGCCCCCGGGGTCAGCATCGCCGTCACTGCTGATTCCGCTTCCCGCGGTCCGCCCGGCGCGGGTCCGGCCCTCGCTCCCGCCCTCCCGCCGAGGGGCGCGGCTTCCCGGAGGCCCGGGAGGGGCCCATGCCGGGCTCCCTCGCTGCGAGGGCGGGTTGAGGGCCCAGGGGGAGGCAGGACAGTCCCACGCTTCAGAACGGGGTGGCGGCGGCGGCTTCCCAGGTAAAGGAGGCAGAGAGGAGCCGGGTACATCGCTGCATCCTTCGGCTTCGGGCTAAACTGCGCCGCCTCTAAATTCCAGGCGCTGCGGAGGCCCCGAGAGCTTAAGAAAAAAAGCTTTTCTCTGCTTTTCCTGCAGAGAAAACGCAGGTGTCGGGCTGAGCACGGAGCTCCTGGGTACTGCCAGCCGAGGTGCTGAAGCCAGTGTGGGGTCCACTTAACACACAGCTAATGCAAGTTCCACCAAAACGTGTCGAGTCAAGGGGTAGATTTTTTTTTTTTTTCTTAAGGAAAATGCCCGCCGGTCCGCTTATGTGCAAGGCTAACAAGCCCGCAGGGCGCTGTGCCCTGTGGCACTCGGACTGAGAAGGCGCGTTGTGAATCACGAGGCTTTTTGCCCATAGGTGCCACTAAGGCGCGCTTTGGAGTCGGGAACGGAGGAGCCACAGGTGCAGCCCGACCCTCCCCGGTAAGCGCTGCGCTCGGCCCCGCCGCGGCACGCTTTCCCCTAGGAGCCCCGCCCCGGGGCTGTCCTGGAGCAGACACGTACCGCCGGTGCCGGGCTGCCCGGTGTTGTGGGTCGCGGGTCGTTCGTGAAACATTTGTAGCTGTTTTGGGGGGGTTTCCCCCAAAAACGCTGACACCCGCTCGCGCCCCGCCCGTCACGTGACCGCGGACGCGCGTTACCAGGGTGAAGCGCCGCTAACGCGGGCAGGGCCGCGGCCCCGCCCCGGTGCAGGCTCGCCCAATGGGAGCCGAGCTGCTAGGCGGGGTCGCCAATAGGGGCGGGTGGGGGCGGGGCCTTGCCAGGCGCGAGGCCAGGTTGGGCAGTCGTGGCCGCGGCGGGCAGGTATGGCGGGGTGGGGACCGGGCGGGCGCGGGCAAAGCTGAGGCGGGGCGGGGACGGAGCGGGCTGGGCCGCGCGGGGCCGCCCTTCTGGGAGCCGGGCAGGTAGCGGGTGGTCTCTTCCAGTCACCCTGGGGCTGGTTGTTCCCGGCCGCGCCTCTCGCCCCGGTGCTGGGCTTGCTCTGGCTGTGCGGGGGCGGCGGCCTGGCGGGGCCCGCTTGCGGAGCGCGGCCCGGCTCGGCCCCTGCCCTGCCCCTCTCCGTACGCGCGGCCCCGGCCTGGCCGTGCGCTCCGCTCGGTCGGGCTGCCTGGGGATGTGACTTGCGCTGCTCTCCTGCATGTCCGATGAACTGACTTGCTGCCCTGGACTCGAAAAGACAACGCCCTGTCAGCGCTGATGTCCTTCCTCTGGACGCATGTTTTTCCCTTGCCACATAGAAAAATAAGCTCTCTAACTCATGGAGGATTATATATCCGCTGTGACTGAACTGTGACTTCTCGCCCAAAGGCTGCGTGCTGCCCATTTGTGTTTGCACGGAGCAGCATGCAGAAGCAACCCTAAGCTATGCCTAATGCAGCTGTTTTAGCTGTAGAACGACTCTAGTTGTTTCATAAAGTAGGGTAGGAAGAGAACTTCAGTAGAGTCATGCAAAGTTCAAGTTGTATCCCACCTGCTGTGCTTTTAATGTTGCCTGAAAAAGAACATTGAAGTTAGTATCAAGACCTTATGTTTAGAAGTGCAACTTTATATTAAACTATCTTTATGTACTGTAAGAAAAAAACCAACCTTACCAAGACGCTGCAGGCCTGTAATTTTAACTTTTTACTTTCCTGGTAGTTATGCTTAGTCTTAGTAGGCTTTGTATCTCCTCTTTCGCAGAACAGATTACTTTAGGTCTCTCTTGTTTTGTCTTGTAATGCTAATCAGGCTTATTAATTTTAGTCTGCTTTCATGGTATAGGTCATGTTAAGCAGCATCTGTGTATAGTACATGGTAATTCTGTAAAAAAATATCTAAAATTGAGGAAAGACTCTGATTGTGAGACCTGTGATGTGTGTGAAGTTTGGATCTAAGCTACTAGGATCTCCTGTTGGAAGGAAGCTGAGTACAGCAAAGCAGAAATGCTATTTGTTCTTGCAAGTGAGGCTTAAGTGAAGAAAATCTTAGAACACTTTTGTCTTTTTCCGCTTACAGAAACTTTCTCAGGGTATGGAAGCTCTTTTTGCTTTAAAAAATATAATCTTTTAGTCTACTGTGAATTTTCTCTGGCATTTGTCACTTTGGTCTTTGTTTTGCCCTTTCGCTGTGCTGTTCTGACACATCTGTATATTGCCATAGCTTCTGCTTGCAGCTCCCTAGTGTCCTGTTTTTACCAAAATAATTTTTAATATAGAACCTTAAACACCATAAAAATTCACCTGAGTACTCCTTTTAATCTGAAAAGGTAGCCTAAGTGGTCAGATAGTACACGAAAAATAGGGATTTGTGCCATGTTGTGATTATTGGTTTTATATGCAACGCGAAAAGAGTCATTCAGTCAAGCTTAAGGCCACACCTCTCTGTACTGAATAATTATTTGAAACGTGATGGGGATATGTTGAATTCAGGCCATTTTTGGCTTCATTACAGTGGGAAAAAAAGCTGGATTTAGTGCATCTTAAGGAACAATACATAGGAATTCTCCTTGCCTCCATTGTGTTTCTTCCAAGTAAAGCTGGACAAAACATTTTTAACCAGGTGCCATAGCTCTATGATTTTTGTGTGGCAGCTGGATCAGAAGCCTTGGCACTGATTTCATTGATTTATTTAGAGACAAAACAGATTCTTTTTAGTCAAAACGAAAGATGAAACAGGTTTTAGTTTTGCAGCCCTTGTTGGCCCAAAATGATCCAACTGTACCAAAATAGAATTGAGACTAAGAGTAGATGATTTACAGAAAATCGACTGAAGAGACAAATGGATCAACATTTTGAGTTTTAAAAAAATACCGTTCCCTGATCAGGCTAAATCACTAAGTACACCTAATTAAATATGCTCATGGTTTTTTTGTGTTTGTTGGTTTGTTTTTCCAGTACTCAAGTAAGGATGCCTTAAGACAAGAACTATGGATAAATATATCAAAGTAAGGAAGATTGGAGAAGGATCCTTTGGGAAAGCAATACTTGTCAAAGCTAAAGAAAATGGCCAACAGTATGTCATTAAAGAAATAAACATCTCTAAGGTAAATTATTGTTATTAATAAATTCCTGAGCCATTCTTTTTGTACTTCGGTTCTCACAAATCATTATTTTCCTTCTGAAGATGTCAAATAAGGAGAGAGAAGAATCAAGGAGAGAAGTTGCTGTTTTGGCTAACATGAAACACCCAAATATTGTCCTGTATAGGGAATCATTTGAAGGTAAGATGAACTAATACAGTAGAATCTGAAGTAACATGAATGACTCTGTGCACTTCTTACTTCACTTAGTCTAAAAGTCAGGGAGTTTTCTCTCTTTAATCAGTATTTTTCATACCTTTATTACTTACTTCAGTTATTTCCCATATTTTTTTCGGAACTCGCATCCGTGTTTAAAAATAATTGTAATTCAGGAAAAAGGGAAACAAATAAACAAATATTCATGACTGTACCTTTACATGCATTGGTTTTGGTTGATGCTTAAATGAAAGATATTCTCTTGTTTCTCCTGAGCATAAGTCTCCTTGCATATACCCTAGCAACTAAATGCTTGTGTAGGTTAAATTTGTGTAGGTTAAATTACAGTCTAAATTTGGATATTGATAACCTAGCAAGAGCAATTTCATGTCCAAGTCTGTTGTGTTAGAGTGCAGTCTTCAGTAAATGCAACCATATAGTTGCTTTCAGAGCTGGGAAGATAGATGGGACTGTTTACTTCATTGGGCAGTGAAGGAAGGAGAAATATTATTCAACATTGTCTTCACAGTAAATGTCTTCGGAAATAGGAAGAACTGAAAAAAGGTTCCAAAAACCTATTATAAAAGTTAAAATATTATTAAAAGCCCCTAAATATTATTTGAACTGCTGTTTAGAGATTTTGGTCTCTTCTTCTTTCCTTCGTTTCTGCTGACTTTGTCTTTTGCCTGGGGCTTTCACTTTGTCTTTTCATGAAATTAGATTTTTGTGGCATAATCATATTACACAGCCACACTTCTGGTTTATAAATGCACACAGCTTTCTTCATTGTGGTAGAGGGCTGTTCTTTAAGACTGCTTTTTTCTTACAAGGTAGATCCTGTAATCCATAATTCACAAGACTTTGTGTTGTATCTTTATTGCCAGAACACATTATCTTTTAATACGTTCAACATAGAGTTCATAGAAGAAAATTATTTCAGCAAGAGATGTGCAAGAAATGTAGACTCCTAGAATCATCTTTTAAAATAACTCTAATTAAAGACAATAAAATAACCAAACAGAGAAACTTTAAGGGTTTGATGTTTTGAAAGGCAGATTTCAGAAACATTCTATGAGAGTGAAATTTAAGTGACTTAGTTGATTCAATTTATTTTAATTCAAAGGTTTTTAAGTGTTGTGACTAACTTTTTCATAAAATAGGAGTTTTTTTCTTTTGAGCAGCATGTGACTGATTTTCTGCAGTTATTCATCTCTTCTCAAAATCATGCCTAGTATGTGAGTAGTGTAGTTCTTACGTTTTTGGCAACTTGCAATTTGCTTCTGCCTAATCTGTTTTTTCATCAGTAACTGGGGAAAACCATAACTTTGAATGAAATGTATTATGTTTGTTCATACCTCCTGCTGGAAACTTGCATGGGATCTTTTGAAGTCTCCTGAGATTTCATTCAAAAATGAGAAAATAATTGTTTCCATCTCCCATTGTCTGCTGGAACTTCTCTTACTGTTCTTCAGACCGAAATATGCTGCATGTCTAGTATGAAAGCTGATGGTTGTCATGTTCTGGCAAGTCCAGGTAAAATTCCAAGAAAAAAGAAGGCAAATAGAGGCAACTTAAGATCCCTTTTGGTTAGGGGGATCTATAGGATGTTTGAAAGAAGTTGAAAGATTGATTTTATATTGCGTTCATAAAATGACACCTTTAATTTCATAGTGGTTTTGAACACAATGTTGGAACATTGGTTCAGTAGATGTAATTCTTTTCCCTCCCTATCAAAATAGTCCAATGTTACCAAAATGGAAAAATTAGGTTTTGAAATTCAAAATAATAAACATATTTTTGCTTGAAGTTTTAGAAGATGGACTAATAAATTATATCTAAAGCTGCATGTGAAAAAGTAAATTTTTTGTTGCTTTTTCTGTGGCTGTGGTGAAGATATTTAGAAAGTTCAGTAAAGAAGGGTCTTGCTTTTGTCTTTTTGAAATACTTTGTCTTCTACTTTACAGAAAATGGCTGTCTGTACATAGTGATGGATTACTGTGAAGGAGGAGATCTATTTAAAAAGATAAATGCCCAGAAAGGAATCCTGTTCTCTGAAGATCAGGTAACAGCAAACTGCTGTTATAGTGTTTTCTTGCAGGATACTTTTTCATGAATTTGAAATTATTTTGGTTCAGGTTATAGATGTGGTTGCTTAATCTAAAAGGAGATTCTCAGTCTTTCTTGTTGCTGTTGATCAATGTAGTACCATTAAAAAGCAAAACCAAACCAAGAGACAAACAAAAAAAACAACTGCAAAAAAAAAAAAAAAAAAAAAAAAAAAAAACCAAACCAGAAAATATGGTTGAAAGTCCTGGGTATGTTACTTGAGATTTTGTCTCTATGCGTAAGATGCTTTTAGAAGTTGGATCTCTTGTGAAGTAAACCAAATCCGAGACATAAAAAATACTGAAAGACAATGTGAATATCCTTAAACCTCTGAAATAATTTTTAAAGTTTTTAAGGATGTGATGGCATAGGATTTTGTATTGTAATACTGATTTTCCTGTGTCATAAGTATGAAATAATATACTTTGTAAGTATAATAATATGAAATATGGAGTTGGCATCAATCAAAAGTTCATTTTGCCAGTGATAAAAATTTAATATTCTGCTGATATACTTCCAATACATTTTCTTGTGCCCCAAAACTGGTTATAAGGTAATTTTTAGTGAAAGAGAAGTGACCTAGTTTGGAATAAATGAGAGGATTTTAAGTACAGATTTGATTAAATTATGTAAAAATAAGTTATGTAGGGTTCAGGATGGGTTCTTTGTTAGGACTGACATGTTTCTTTGTTTATAAACTGTTTCTATGCTTTTGTGCCTGCGTCCAGTAGGATCTCAATTTACCTGGGATTGGAAAGCCTTAGTAGTATATGAAACATTTGGGATATAATTTGTAAAACTTTTAATTTTCTCATTTGACCTCACTTTTACAAGGACTTCAGTGGAAAAGTGAAAATTATGCCTTGCATTATACTATAATTTTGTCATGTATACATTCCTAAGTAGTGAATGTAAAACTAGTATTCACATGGAAAAGTTCTTGTCATTAGTCACTTCTTACATTGTGATTTTTGCAAATTTACCCTAAAAAGGGCATTGTTGGCTTGTCCAAAATCTTCTAGTTAGATGTTTGTTGCTTTTCTTATCAAAATCTACTTTGTAATATTTTTCTTTTGAAGGTAAGACACACAAAATTATTATAAGCAAAATAAATTTATGGGAGCCATCAGTAGGCTTCCTAGGACTCCTGGTCGTTTCACTGAGTGCAAGAAGACTTGTATTGGCTACAGCAAAAGTGCAATCTTTTAATTTGCAAGTTGCACATCAAATCAAATCCATGTTGCAAGCCTCTGCTAGGTTTATAATACATAATGAAAATAGTAGTCTGAAGCTTAATATCAAATTTGGGTAATAAGCATCTTTCATTAAAAGGTTTGCATTATAGTGACAGTACTATTAAGTTTTTAATTATTCTTTGGTATAAATGAAGCGGGTAAGAGGGGGAGGAAGGTAAAATCCATAGTTATAATTAAAGTCTCATTTGATAATATCTTGTGGGGAAGTTTTCAGATAAATAATGAAGTTGATGTTGCATTTTCTTTTATTAATAGATTCTGGATTGGTTTGTACAAATCTGTTTAGCACTAAAACACATACATGATAGAAAAATCTTGCATCGGGACATAAAGTCACAGGTATGTAGGTGGCAATTTTTCAACTGAATTGTCTTTCAAAGTGATTGCATTCATATCTTCCGAGTTTGTTTATGGAAACATTTCTAATACTGGAAACACTTCTTCAGTCTGCAGGAAATTGATATATTTGTACAAACAGATGGGGCTGTTTGATGAAATGACAAGTGTTACTCATGTATTTATATCTGGGGACAGAAAAGATTGTTTCCTAATGGGAAGTAGTGTTTTCTCATATTAATGAGGTACAAGTTGTGTAAGTCTGGTGTTCCATAGTAGTAAGTAACAATGATTTCAAAGGGATTGAATGGTAGAAAACTTTCTTCTCAAAATATGTAGAGAACAAAAAGTGTGCAATTGTATGAATATTTTAATTAACGGACTTTTTAAATTTCTGTGTCAAGAATATATTTTTAACCAAAGATGGAACAATACAGCTGGGAGATTTTGGAATCGCCAGAGTTCTGAACAGGTAACTCCTTTTTCATATTTTTTTTCCTCTGACTTAATTTAAATTGCTTTGACCAAGGAAAACATGATTTGTGCACTTCATGTGAGTTAACCAGTTAACATCCATCCTTATTTTTGTCTTAGTACTGCAGAGCTGGCACGCACTTGCATAGGAACACCGTACTATTTGTCGCCCGAAATATGTCAGAACAAGCCTTACAACAATAAAAGGTACAAATAAGGATTTTATTAAACAATTTTGTTAAAAAGAAGAAAATAAGGTCTTTTAGGAATCTAAAGCTGTTCTAATCAAATGATGGTGAGCATCTGTTAGTTTGTCTCTTACCTGAGTAGGTACTGAGCTTCACTGTAGAGGTGGCACCTTAGTAGTCTGAAGTAGAAAGCAGTGTCATGGAGAGATGACTTAGCTTAATGCTCCAAGTTCAAGATCTAGTTGTGTCCTCAATTGTGGCTCTACTTCTGCCTGTCTGCACAGTGGTTGTAATGCCTTTGTTTATGCACTACCCAGATGAAACTCTGTTAAGGATGAAACACACCAATTTGGTGATCTGGGCACATGATGTGCATAGATGGGCGGCTCAGCTGGCTCCAGGCATTTCACTTAGACCTTTGCAGCCCTGGCAGCAGCCTGTACCTGGTAACAGTGTCCCCAGTGTAATTAAACTGTTGTAATGAAATGTTAGTAAGTTACCCTTCCAGTGCACCCTGCTGTTGCATTCACTGGTGTGAGTGCCTTATGCTCATTTGCATGGATTTCTTAAGAGATAAAAATTGTTACAATTCCTTCCCTTTAATTTCTTGTACGTGGGGTTTATTATCCAATGATGTTCTAACCAAATCCTGTAACGAGTGAGGGTAGGTTTAATCGCTCCTGAACAGAATAAAGTGACTTTGAGGATTGTGTTTGCTGAATTAGGTGATGAGATTTTTCTGGATTTTGTTTGTTTAATTCAAAGCCCTCAGGCAAATGTATGTATTTAAACCAAAAAAAGTCATTGTCCATATTTTGTCCGATTTCTGTGGCTGAGGTGCTTCTAAATTAGAAGCCAAAATAGCCTCATCTGATTTTCAGGGTGGCCTTATTTTGACTGATGAATTGGTTTTGAGATTTTTGTTTTCTTGGGGTTTTGCAGGGTCAAAGAAGTCCATAGATGGGGGCTTGTGCATACTCAAAAATCCACCCATTTCCTCTTCAGATATAGACTTCACAGATACAAGTTAACTGGCCATGTTAACCTAGAACTAAGTTTTAAAATAATGTGTTCTCTTTGATTTAGTGATATCTGGGCCCTTGGTTGTGTTCTCTATGAAATGTGTACACTTAAACATGCGGTGAGTAGAAACTTTGTATCTATAAAAGAATAGTGATTTCAAACAGAATTTATCTCTGATGTTATGCAGATATATTTTAGTTGATGAAATGCTTTCATGGTAGCTCTTTGAAAATTACCTTCAGCATTTTCATCTCCACTTCCTGTGCCAACCAACACTTTTCATTGGTGTTTTGTTCCATGCCAATCTCTCAGATATCTTGGCACCTTTGTTTTTAATGGATTGTATTAGCTGAAAAAAATTGTTAGGTGTTACAGTAAAGGATACTAGGAATAGTGGGGGGCATTTGTGGATTTTTTTGTTTGGTTGGTTTGGAGTTTTTGTTGGGTTTGTTGTTGTTTGGGGTTTTGGGGGTTTTGCTTGGTTGGGTTGGGCTTTATTCCCAAAAAAGCCTGAATTCACTGAAAGCTTCATTGAAGATCTGAGTTTGGATTCTGCTTTTTTGCAGATGGATTAATGTATTTCTGTTTAGAACAGAAATAGTGCTTAGAAAAAAAACTCCCACACAAGGTGGAAGAGTTACCTTTTTTCGTTTTTTTTCTTCTTCTATCTATGTGTGTGTATAGTTTGAAGAGTATGTCTTCATCATCCATTTTTCATTTAGGAGGGGAAGAAAATGTTTGAGTTTTTTCCTGTCCTGTTTTGGATTTTTTTGTAGATTTTGTTTTCTTTGGAGCTTCTTAGTAGCTATTTTTATTAAAAGAAAAATATTATAATAACATGAAAATGGAAATAAATATTTTCAAGGGATAAGGATTTCATTTCATTTCAAACTTTTGTAGTTTCTTCTTTCTTCATCTTTTATATGGCAGCACTGCTGACAGTGTTTAATTTCTGAGAGTTGTCAACAATTTGTTTTCTGTAAGCTGGGTGATGCATATTGTTTTCTTTTTATTGTACAAAGGAATTGAAATGGTGCTCTTGTTACCTGAGCTTAAACTGAAGTCTGAGCATTTCCTTGGATTTCACCCTGAATGAGTGTGAATACTTCACACATTCTGTAATTGGTGATGGGGGTTTGCTAAAAAAGGCAGAAGGCATGTTGTGTTTCAAAACCTTTGGAAGAGGAGATCAAGCAGATAATTAATTTTTCCTTAGTTGTATATCATTGTCAGTCTAGATCTGGAGGCAATTACTTTTTAGCATATTATGTCTCCATAGTATGAAATACCTGTATTGTGATGTATTTCCAATTGGAATTTTAATTTGGATGCTTGGCAACAGATTATTTTGAACTGCTGGAGTTGACCTTGAAAATGTGTGTGTTGAGGCAAAGGAAGGTGCACTGTTAGCTTGGTTTCCCCATCATCTGTATGTGCAGCCTTGCATGTGGCCAGGAGATAAGAATAACTGTTCTCTTCCTTGTGTGATACAGTTTGAAGCCGGTAACATGAAGAACTTGGTCCTGAAGATAATCTCTGGACCTTTTCCTCCTGTTTCTATGCATTACTCCTACGACCTACGTAATCTGCTGTCACAGCTATTTAAAAGGAATCCTAGGAATAGACCATCAGTAAACTCCATATTGGAGAAAAACTTTATAGCCAAACGGGTTGAAAAATTTCTCACACCAGAGGTATGGAGCTAGTTTTAATTCTAACTTTGCTAAAAACATCATAGGACTTTCCTTTTTCTTTATTCTAATGTTCTTATATTACATGGAAAGCTAGAGTAATGGTATTCCCTAGAGCTCCCTAGGGTCAGTTGAGGAAAAACTAGTTTTACCATAAACTGTAAAGAAAAGTCTCAAATAATTAAGTGTTTGGTAGTTTCCATAAGGAAATCTAAATTGACATTTTCTGAAGTGCATTGTTTTGTGTGTTTTTCTATATCATGAGGAATCACCACTGAGATGATTTGTTTAGATACACATCTTTTCATAAAATGCTGCTGTCAATTATTTCAGCATTGTTGCTGTATAGAATTTCTTCAATCTTCTTCAATTTTTGTTTGTAATTTGGAATGTCCTGAAAACCTGTTGTGGAAAATAATGCTAAGTAAAATCATCTTTGAATTTCTTGAGGTTTAAATGTATCATGCATATATACCCTCAAAGAAGTTGCTTCCTATTCTGTTTAAAGTCTATTCATATAATTTTATATCTAATAATGTCCTTTTAATATGAATCTAATCAAAAGAGATCAAGATTAACAAGTGAATAATAGTACTGATACAAGGTAAATATAGAAGAGAGAGGCCATAGAGGAAGTGCAGTATAATAATTCTAATGGATTCTAACTCACAACTAAAGAAATGTCTTGAAAAGGCCATATATAATTGGAATTTCTGAATTTCTGTGTCGAAATAGACTTTCACCTTACTTTAGATACAAGTTCCAATGAAAGGTAAAATTCATAAATCTTTACAGTTAGGTTTGTTCTAACATTTGCAACAGTAATAGTTTGATCTGATTTTATTTCCAGTAGCTAGAATGGATATGAAATTTTTATTTGGAGTTAGTCAGTCAAAGTATAATTAGTAATAGGCTGTCTTTGTCTCCAGATGATGATACTAATTTGTCCTAGATGGAGTATGAATATTTAGGTGCAAATTTTCCAACTGTACTACTGGTGTTTGACTTAGAGGTGTTATCTAATATTTGAAACAACCAAAAAATCCCCACACAGAAAGCACCTTCTCGGAAATGTATCAGTCTGGTACATTTATATTTAGCAGGAGGTGATCATTCTGTGATACAGCTGTAATGCTTATTTTCTTGCAGTATCATCCATGGCTAGTGCTGTTGTCCTCTGTTTTCCTTAGTCTAAACTTAAAAATTATTTCATAGTTGACATCTTCAGGATGTTGCAACTGTTGCTGAAATCCCATTTTTAAATATCAGGAAATCAATCTTCCACTTTTATGTAAATTTTTTCTTTAGCTTCATAGTTAGTAAGTTGCATTAAAGAGCAGATCTAAATTAGCATCAATTTTTAAAAAGGAGAGGGAGCTCTTTGAAAGATACTAATGAGTCAGATTTCTTTTCTGTCAGTAAAGGTGTTATCGTGGAAACATCATAATTCAGTTGCTACAACTTACCACTCAAATAAAAGCTTCAAGATAATTGAAATACCATTAGTAAGAAAGTGTAGGAAACTGTGTGACTTCTGGCTTACAATCTCTGATGCCAGACTCTACAGATTAAAATTTTGCTTGGCCATTATATGCAGAGTCCTAAGGTCTGCACTTTGGTTCTTGTTTTCGGGGTTTTTTTCAGATTTAACTCCTCAGCATCCATTGTAACTGACTGGTACAAATCAAAGGAATCTGAATAGTTCAAGATTCTGTAAAGACTATTCCTGAACTGATGCTTTTCATTTATCCTTGCTGCTCTTCCTTGAATACTTTTCACTTCTACTATATAGTTTTTGAGATGTTTGATTCAGAACTACCTACAGTATTTGAGATGATTGCCTATTCATATTTGAATTTTCTTTGTCTAGTCTCAAAATTTTCATCTCAGTAAGATTGCTTTCCATATTTTAATATGCTAATTGTATATGACTTACAGCACACCACATATGTTTTTCCAGATATCCACATATGTGGTCATCTTCCTATCTTGAAAAGGATAGCAACGCTTTAAAACTGCAAGCATTTTTAAAGAACTATTTTTTGACACTAGCTGTATGAGAAATTAAGGTGAACTTTGGCAGCTACTCAGAAATCTAAAGTGAATTATGCATAAAAATTGTGTTGATGCTCACATTTTTTTTCCTAGATTCTTAGCTAGTTCATAAATGAGATAACATGTGCCACCCAGAAGTCAGACTAAATTGCTTTTTAAAATTACTTGAGTAATTATGCCAAAAATATTTGAAAATACTCCAGCTTCATATTGGTAGTACTAAATTCTAGTAATACTAGATTCAGTGCATAAAGTTGAGTATTTATTTTCATATAATTTACAGTAAATGCTCTTAGTTAGATGCTTACTGCTAATGGCACGCTTATCTGAAAATGGGTTATTCCTAGCTTTGGTCACAGGTATTATTGACTAACTCTTCCCCTTGTTTAGCTTATTGCAGAAGAATTCAGTCACAAAATTTTCCACAAGTTTGGACTACATGCTTCACCAGGTAAGTTGGTGTCTGCACTGCTTTTTCTTTCAGCTCTGTCAAGATCATGTATGTAGCTTTGTTCTTCTACTAGGGTTTTTTTCAGTGTGTTCTCATACCTGACTGTAGGATTTTCAGGAAAAAAAGAGAGGAGAGGCAATTTCCTCCCCTTCCCTGGGGAGCTGGACATATGTTAGGTACAAATGATGCAAATACAAGCTATGGACCTGTAATACATTAGTGTGCTTTTCCTCTTGCAGTATGCTACAATTCCAAAATTTAAGGAGACAGTGTAGACTGCAAATAATGGAACCAATTCATATGCTATGATTGTATGACTTATTTTTATCCCTTAGTAATGAAAAATGGCTAATGAGAAGTGCTATTTCTTCCAAAAAAAAGTGTGATGCTTCATTAGCAATTCAAGATAAAGTCCTGGCTTCAGTCTAATTCAGTGAAATTTCTGCTAGTGATAACAAAGATTAATTCTGTCAAGATGGTGTTACTTCATTTTACTGCATTAGTTTGCCTTTTTTCCCCTAGATTTTCTTCCCAGTTATTTATTTCCCTGTAATTATTTGATGCTCTGGCAAGGGCTTTGGTATTTTTTCATGATGTTGCTGACCTATTCTGTGGTAAGAGAGCCCTGCTGACCCAGAATCGAACCCACAATATTGGTATTGGTGTATATTCAGGAACTCTGTGGGGAAAGCAATATCCCTGAAGGCCATTGAAGCTCTTCTAGAACTCATCTTCTGGTGACATTAGCATTACAGGTTTCAGTCCAGTGTTATTAGTGGAGAAGGGCCTGTCTCTCCATTCCATTAGCAAACCTTTTCCCTGTGTACATGAGCACTGTGCAAGCAAGGCAGCTGAATGAAGTGTCAGTTATCCAGCCTGGATTAAGATGTAAAAGCATGGGAATTGTTTTATTCTGTTTCTTATCAAACATCAAACTTAGACAAGCTAATACATCAGCTTATGTGAATGAAATGTTAGTGGTTTGTTACGGGTTCGGGAGGATGCCCATGCACACAAAACCTGAAACCCAGCTGTGACTGCAAAGCAAAATTGCCTTTATTACTAGCAGTAGCAAATAATACATACAGACCACTGGTTCCTGCAAAGCCACTGGGCAGGCAAAGGACATGGAGAGCATGGTGCTCATGCAGGGGGCAGGCAGGCAGTGCACCTTCAGGGCATGCCTGGGATCCACAGTCTGTATCCAGTTCTTGTCAGCCCTGCACCCCAGACCCACACCTCAAGGCTTCTCCTCAGGAGTGGAATTTTTCCAGCTATGACATCCAGCGCGTGAGATGAGGCCACAGCAGCTCATGATCCCACCTGCATGCTAACACCTCCCAGTTCCATTGTGTGTTGTTCCTTTCTCACAGGTTAACTTCCCACCAATGGACCAATGCATTGTTTCTCTTTCAAGGGTCAAGTTCCCACCAGTTATACAGTAAAGTTTTCTTCATTGTCTTGTGGATGTGCACAAGAGCAGACCAAATATAGCAGGGCCTTAGATGCAACTTCAGTCCCTGACACACAGTTCACCCGTTTTTGTCTAGTTTTGCTGTTCTAAGATTTTAAAAAGTCTTAGAAAGGGAAATACCATACACTGGCCAGCCTGGATAACTCAAAACCAAGTTATTTTTTTATTGTGGGGTTTTTCTTCTTCTCAGCTCAAAGACCAGTTCAAGAACCAACACTGACTTCAGTTGCACCAGCTCAGAAAATTACCAAACCTGCTGCAAAATATGGAGTGCCTTTAACTATCAGGAAGTCTTGTGGTGCACCTAAAAAGCCTAATGAGAAGAAGCCATTGACTAAAATTAGACAGGTAAGAAGCTATGTTAGGTAAATTGTGCTGTTTTGCTCATACCTTTTTTAAATACTATGCCTTCCTTTTCAAAATGTCTTGGTATGTGGACATGCCTCATGCACCTGCAGAGAAATTAGAACTAGTAGTTTAAATGCTTGGCTTGCTTCGTTATTGATTGTTTGTTTAGTTGGTTTTAGTATAATTTTTGTAAATTCCTACTTTAGGCTTGGTTTTAATTCCAAGGCTGAATTACATTTGTGTGTTTTCATTTGCTTTGGTGGTGTTAACTACTCTTAGGGGTATTGGAAGCTTGTCAGGTATACTAAGATCATTGACACTGGATAGGAACCTTTGCATCTTTTTTCTCAGTTCCAAAATAATTTCAAATTTTCAAAACAGGCAAACTTTTTCTAGCCATTTTACAAAGTGTTGTTAGGCAGAGAAACTGTAATTGAAAGAGAAATTTCCCAGATTTAATTCCATGAGCTAATGAGAAAGTTTTCTGTATACTGTCATGGGTACTTCTGGTCTTTCTTCCTGTTGTCTTCTCTGTATTTCTTATTACTTAAAACTTCTATTCTGTCTCTCTTTATTCCATTAATTACTGCATGGTCAGGAGTTGTTTTTGCTAGAGCTAGTTTTGAGCTATATGCACATGCCAGACAACTAGCAACCAAGAGGTTGCTAGTTGTCTGGCAAATTCAGATTTTCTTCTGAATATGTAATGTTGGTGTTTTGTGGGGTTTGTTTTGGTTTTTTTTTTTCCTTCTCCCATGGCACTTCAGGAAATGTAATACTAAGACCTCTATCCATCTGTCAGAGTTTAGGTGGATAGAAAATTATCCTTGAGGTGCAAATTATCTGTGAAGTTCAACAGTTATCAGAGGTTTAGAGAAAAGTTCATTGATGATTCAAGCCTTGTTGTCTCTTTAAACACTGTTTGAAAAAGCTAGAAGGGAGAGTGCAGACTTCTTGTGTGTCCTTATGAAATCACGAGGTTTGTGTGTTTTAAGGCTTGATTGGAAACCGATCTATGAGTCTTTGTCATGGGTTTCACCAGCCAACACTTACCCAACTTGCTATGAGACTTAATGTGCCAGGGGAGAGACTGAGGAAATATCCTCTTCTCACATGGAAGGAGTCAGTAATGCTGATATTTTAATGCTGATTTATTTTGTGAATTGTACCTAGTGATAGGATGTGGGATAAAAACAATGGCTACAACTTAATATAAATTTTCTTCTCTGAGTCTGAGCTTGCAGCTCTTAGCTGGCTTTTCAGAGAAGCATGTAACAATTGTCTCCTTTATTTAGTAAATATTGCATTAATATTATAGTATTACAAGTCTCTAAAGGTTTCCAGCTTCTGCAATACTTGATTTTAAATTACCCATTTGACAGGATTGCATGTTGTGAAAAGAAAATACTTATGAAGCTCTGTGTGTTCTAGTATGGTCAGAAAAAAAATCTTTAAAAGTAATGATGGTTTTTTTGGGAAGATTAAACAGCACATTTTGTTAACCATAGCTGCTTCTTTAGCAGGTATTCAGTGGTGACTGTGTTATCACAGGTAAAAAGAACCTTAGTTAGAGTTGGAACCAAGTGAAGTACCAAGCAAAAGAGCTCCAGGATAACCTTCCAAATAAGAGAATTTTAATATCTAGGCCCCCTCAAAGAGTTTCTGTAAAGAAAAGGTTGTAATGAAGAGTGATACTACCAAAGAAGAAAAATTAAGACAAAACAGATTTAAAAATCACTGCCTTCAGCTTTTGAAGAGCTTTTAGTATAGGATGAGCAAGTACCCCTATATCCTAGCAGTCCTTTTCACTTCAAACCTCCTGAATAATCAAGTATTTTAAACCCATTTAGTGCACACTCAGTTGTGACTTTAAGAATATGTTTTCTGATAGAACTTTTCTCTCATTCTGGCATCATGCTCTCTAATTTGAAGTTTCACCTTTCATGCAGGCATTTCCATCCCCATTGACGAAAATTACTCCAGTAGAAAAAAGGAGGAAAACGTTTGAGGTATCAAGAAATCATCTGTTTTCAAACTGAGCAAAAGCCAAGTCCACAGCAAGAATGACAACATACAACCTTCAAACCTTTCCTCCTCATCTTTTTTCCCAAATATTATATAGCAATGATTCCTTTTTTTTAATCTACATGGACATACACAGCAATTGGATCAGTAACCCGACTTGACAGAGTAACGGCTCAGTAATAAATACCAAATTATATGCTTATTTTTCAGGAACCTTCAAAAAAGAAAAGGTTAGAATTGCCTGAAAAAGAAAAACGCCAGAGAGAGCAGGTAGTCAAGAGTCTTCAGATTTTTCTTTATTCCCCCATAGAAATTTTAAGGACATACCTTGTGGGTGTGGTGTGTTGTGTAAGAATATGCAGTAGTTTGATTTCCCAGTTCCTTAACATGTTTAATCCTTACACATTTCAGATCAGTTTACCGAAGGCAGATGAAATGAGAAGACTGGAAAAAGAAAGGGTAAAATATGTTTAAAATGTGTTAAGAGTGAAGTTCAATTTTTACTTAGTGGTTCCTTGAATTTTGTTTTCCTGTATTGTTTTCTCCTTCAGATGGAACGAATAAACAGAGCCAGGGAACAAGGATGGAGGAATGTGCTTGGTTCAGGTGGAAGTGGTGTTAAGGTTGGCAGCAGATGCAGAAATGTGGTGCAGTGTGCTCCCCCCACCTTTGATTGTATGAAATGGTCTTCTCTTTTCAGAAGGATGGAGGTCAACTCTTGAGGCTGTCCTTTATTTATCTGTGGATAATTTGAGATAGACTGTAACAGCTCCTCCCTAGCCTTTTTGAATGCAATTTTCATTTTTAATGTTTCTAAATTTCTGAATCTCTTCTCTCTCTGCTAGTAATGGTTTTCATGCACCACTTTCTTATTTCCATACCTGCTTTTGCTACTTTCCGTGTGCTGAGTGTATGCATGGGCAGCTTCTTTCACACTCAAGTTTGTTATTGAATTTTTTTGTTCCCAGGTTTTCATATTATAGTAATGGACCTCTTTCCTAGTATTAAACACTTGTTTCTAAACATTCCTTGTTATTTAGCAATGTAAGTGTTTCTATATAGCAATAAGATGTTCAGGAGGGGGGTAAAATTTTTTGAGTAAATCTTAATTTTTTTTTTTAATGCAGTGTGCTGTTTAGCCACTCACTTTGTACGTAATTTAATCTGATTCCCATGACTGTTTCCTTTTCCCTATGTGTGCGTGTCATAGTTTCATAGAAACATAACTGTCCTGGAAAGCAGTCTCATCAAGTTAGTTGATGATAAGTGTCTGGGTACTTTCATCAGACAGAGCCAGTGCAGGAATTTAAGTAGTGCTATGGTAAGTGTATCTGACAATAGAAAGTGGATTGAAACACAGAGATTTGTTGTGGTGGTAGTGAGTCTTATGAAAATACTGGGCATAAACATGTTCAGTAAGGTTTTTGTGAGCAAGATTTGATTGAGCAATAAAGTCAAAATGGATAGAGGTTTTATTACTGTTCTTTGTACAAAAATGAGGAATACACAAACACCAACCAGGTTTCAGTAGCTGCTTATTAAATATTTCCTTTCAAAATAGGTATCATCTTCAGATGTGTGCCACACATCATATAAGTAAAGCTTAAATATAAATGCAAACGTAAACATACCAGACTTTAAAAACTACAAAGTGTTGATTTAATGAAAAAAAGGAAAAAATTTAAAATTAAAATTAATTTGCTTCTTATGTTGTCTTCCTCTCCTTCAAGATCAAACTGGCAGGCGCCAATACAAGCCCCCATACAACATGGTATGCATGCATCCTCACATTTGATGAGAGCTGAGTGTGTTCTTGAACACAGTGTTTCTGATGAACTCAGAGAGTTTTACTGTGAACATACAAGCTGTTCTGTTGTAGCTCCAGCTGCATTATTATCTGTATTCTCAGTTATGTAGGGAAACTGAGGCAAATGAGTGTGTCTGTTTTCACCAGTTGTGACTGGTGTAAAACATCATGGTAGGTGGAAAAATCATTGAGATGTCTTCTTCAAATTGGATAGTTGAGTGCATATCATACTGCAGGCTCCTAGGTTATCATAATTTTAGGTTTCCATATACTATTATAATATTCTTGCCTTAATCATCTTTGTCCTTTCCCCAGCATGATAGCGGTATATCCAGTGCTGACAGTGCTGTTGAGTAGCATTGTTCAAGCTTTCCAATAACACAAGCCATACAGCCTCTTAAAAAGGCACAGCAATCATGCACTGCATGATTCTGTTTTCAGTTTGGTTGCTGGCACCTGTTTCTGAGGAAAAGTAGAGAAAGACATGGCAAGTGTTTGGCTTTGGTTTGTTGTTCTAGCAGGTGCTGTAACTGTTCTCTAGACTGTTAATGAGCACCTGCTTCTTATCATTTGCCTGGAGAATGATCATCATTCTCTAGTATTTCCTTAGATGTTGTAAACTGAGCTCTAATATTGATATGTGAAACCTTGAATAGTGTCTAAAGTTAAGACTTTTCCTTCTATTTGTAGAAATCATAGTCTTGTATAGTTATTTTTATTCAGACCAACAGTCTACCTGCATATTTGTTTGAATGCCTAGATAAATCCTTGATTTAGTACTCTAGTCTGGGTTATGGGGAGCCGTTGATGGCACTGAACAACCAAAACTCAGAATATGAGATAAATTCCATTGTCTAATATAGTGTCTTCAAGAACTTCTAAACAGGCAGTCTTAAACCTGTCACATCTGTACTCACCTGTCTGAATTTATATTAAATACTTCAGACCACTCTGGAAAGTAGATTGACACTGTTGTTGAGACAAATTCCATAGATTGTCTACCGTGGGTTATTTGACTACTTAGCCCAGGCATAAAGGAAACATTTTTATGCATGTGCTGACAACCTTAACCTCGTTTTGCCAGTTTCACGTTTTTTGTATCCATCCTTGGCTATTACTGTACACAGCTGCTTGAAACATTATCTTTTTCATTATTTTCACTTGAAAATTCTGCAGGAATTCTAATGCTTTCAGAATGACAGGTACAGTTTGCACAAAGCAGTGTCTTGTGGTAGGTGTTCCCCTGATCTGAGCTTGAGTAGAGAAGCATCTCAAGTATAGTGATGGAAATTAAGTGACAGGCTGGGTGGAAGTGGGGTTTGCAGATAAATCTGCACATAGTGCTGTTCAGCAAACTTAAAACTCTGCTCAACTGTTTCCAGCTTCATGAAAAAAAAAGTGTGTTTGGCTATGAGTCATTTGTTACTATTTCAGTTGGAATTGTATCACTTTTTTTGCTGAAACTTTGATTTTGGCCCTGTAATATTATCTATCTCTGTTTACACTTCAACAGAGTAATTTTCAGTGACTTCCAAAATGTGCGAGAGGTGGCTCATGTATAACTGGACTATTTTTAAAGAAAGCTAAAATGGTGTTTTATTCTGGACTGCTAATAAAAAAAATTAATTTATGTATGCTGTAGTTTGTTAAAATAGGAGCCTGCCAGGAATAAAACTAGGACCAATTTAGAATTGTTGCAGAATATGTTAGTATTATTACTCTGCTGAAGAGGTGAAAATTGGAAGAGCCTATTAAAAGCAGTATTTGTGATTTCCACCCTACCCCTTTTGGTTTCCAGGCACCATATTATGTCGGTGGAGGTGGTGTTGGTCCTTTTCCTGTGTCTTCCAGAGGACGCTATGAGCACTATCATGCTATTTTTGACCAGATGCAACAGCAAAAGGAAAATGTCTTCAGAATAGCTGAAGAGAGGGAAGCCAAATTGAGGGCAAAACTACAAGACCGAGGAGTTGTTGAAAGGTATGGCTACCTTCCATTAGAAGCTACACGTGTTCTGCTTTAGATGAAAGTAATGAAAGTTACTGTACATATTTATCTACAGAGGAATTCCACCTGGAACACGTCCAGGAGTTCCTAAGGGACCTGCAGGTCATCACCATTTACCCGATGTTGGTGCAGTTAGGAAAAAAGTGAAAAGATTGAAGGAGGTGTCTAAACAAGCCAATGCAAACAGGTTGGACTATGATAATCTGTGAATCTGTCCCTCCATGTTAGATTCTTGTTCTGTGTCTGATTTCATTTAGTAGTTGAGCATGTCTCAAAATCACTTCTATTCATTGGTATTGTGCTGTCTGTTTGTGTGTTAGACCCTCACAGACCACAATTCTTTTAGAGCCAGTGGAGATCTTGGCTTTTCCAATAATGGAAAAAATAGTTTATTAAGCAAATGTACCTAAAGTAGATTTCAGACAAAATTGTTGGCTTAATGTGGTTGCACATAACAACATAAGCCTCCTCCTTTGCTATGTTCATCATTCCACTTTTTGTGTTACCTGACAAGATGCTCCTTTCTCCCATCGTCTTATTCTTCCTGCCTTCTCTGCACCTAAGTGTTTGTAGTACTGCAAAGCATCTAGAATGATCCCAGAATTGCTGGCTCCTGTTTATTGATTGGTGGAAAACTTCTAGGAGCTTTCTTCATTGAGATGTGAATGCCAGGTGTTGTAATGGTGTGCAACCTCTAATTCTGTATTCAAATAGTGAATTAGAAGATCTAAGTCTAATTACTGTAAATAGGGTATTTTTTATATATAAAAGGATTGTAAGCAAGTACTGATTTTCTTTTTAATATTTTCACTCTTTCAAATAGCTTCTTCAAGACTTATTTGCTCTCCTTTAGGTCTTGTAATATTGCCCAAAGAACTGCGTTTTTAGTTGTGACTAATAAATGGGAAAATACCATTTTCCTGGAAGTTTAGTGCTGTGGACATTACTAACTGACTTTCCTAGAGGCACAAATTTTCTCCTTCATTATTTAAGCTTCTGCAGAGCCAATAATCTGCTCCATGGAGGAAGAAAAGAAACAATTTATTCTTGTAAACTAAATTAATTCAATTTTATGTTCCAATATAATATGTATTTGCAATTATAGATTTTTTGCTTTTTTAAAAGTTGCAGCAGTAGCATCATGCTTAACATTGATATTACAGTTCTGAAAGCTCTGACGTATATTTTTATTCCTTATAGTAGGTTGGACTGTTGTGAGATAATTAAAATTCTTCCTGGTACAACCCAGTACTGGAAGGTATCTTTTGCCAGTTGTAGTTAAATATATTTCCTCCTCTATTTATTCTCAGTGCAAAGTGCAAAATCCGCGACTCTTGCCTAGATTAGGAAGCAGTTTAACTCATACATTTGAAAATATTAGATTATATTTGTCTATACCTGGATAAACTGTTTTAAATTATTTAAAATGGAGAGAAACTATAGAAGAGTGCTGCAAATTATAAATAACAGAGAGATTGGGAAGAGAAACCAATTCAGCATTTCTCAAATACATGAATTAATGAAAAGACTGTCTAGAAGTGTCAAAGTAGGTAGGGATTTTTTCTGTTTATAAACTGGATTACTGTTAGCCTTAAACAAGGTGCTGTTTCTTAGCATCTTAAATGTGTTAAGAATTTGTATGTTACCTGGAAGCAATTTTATTGTCATAGCCAGCCTAGCTGTATTTCCCTCCTGGCATTAATTCTTCCAGGTGAAGGCAAGTGTTCATGATGTTTCACTCAAAGAAAGAATTTAAGTAACAAGAACTTTGTTAAAGATAGTCAGTTTAGGGCATATATTGAAGAAGCTGAGAAATGTTCAAGTTGAAGTCTTTCATTGTACTACCACTGTTATAAAGCTAAATATATTCAGTGTCAATAACCTTGAAAAATTGTGTCAGGCAGAAGTGCAGCCCAGAAGAAACCTAGTTGAAATGTTTTAGGAAAATGAGCCACTCGCCTTTAGAGCAAGAAAAAACATTTTTATAAAATTTTGAGATAAGATGTTCCTGTGAATTTGGTTTGAGACAAATAGGACTGTATTGGTTTGGGTGTTTTTGGAAAGACCTCTCCTCCAACACTGTAAGGTTCATGATCTGTGACAGACTTCAGCTGCATGACAGGGCTTTTGCACAGATTTCATGATCGAGCAATTGAGTTCATATGTAGTTAAAAGGTAGGTAAAAATCTTTTAGAGAATCAGGTATGTGTACACAAAGATTGGCAAGTGTTTGTTTCTTTACCAGTAACACCTGTGTAGATTATCTTGCCTTTTCAGAGCAGACAAGAATGTGGAAAAAAATTAATTTCCTTTTTAATTGGAGGGTGAAGGGTCAAAATAATAAATGTGAATATTTTAATTAGTGTACTAATTAATAATGATTTACTAGAGCTTCCTGTATTGCAAAATAATTCTTTCTTTAACTGCCTCAGTCTAATGGATTATTGGTATCAGCATATTCCCGTTTCTTCCTGACTCTTGCCAAGCCCCCAGTGGTCCTCAGTTAAAGGAGGCTCAGGGAACTCTGGAAAGGCCTCATCATTCTACCATTTGTAGAATATCTTAAACCATTTCTAAGTGTTTTGGTTTTATTTTAGTACTAAAATTCTCTGTGTCTACTTCCAACGAATTTGTCAGAATCTGGTTTCTCTATGATGTTATAAATGTACTCGTAGAGTTGCAGGATGCTCAGTTATGGTAATTAAATGTAGCCTTCTTGTTTTCCCAAGCAGATCCCTGACCTGGGGTGAAACTTGTCAAAAAACAATCATCTTGTTATGGCTAATTCTAGGCTAGGAAAATTCCTTCATGGACCCTTTGAAAACAAACAAAAAAAAATTCCCCCAAGATTCCCTAAAGGAAATTGCCAGAACACTCTGAGAACAGTAGCACTGTAGTAGTTCCCTAAGTGGTAGAAGCTCTTACTGCAAATATAGGACAGTCTTGAAAGGCTGTCACAGTACTGACCTTACTGATTGGCTCATGTCATGAGTTCTTGCTCGTCTCTGAAGGGAAAACTTGAAGGAATCTTCTTTTTCACAAATTCTAACAGTAATGAAACAAGCTGAGACACTTCCAGAAACTATCATACCGAGATTGTGTTTTGACATTCATTTTTCTTTCAATTACAAGGATCTGGAAGGACAACGATACAGTGGTTTGGATTTATTTTTTTAATAGTTCTTCTCACTTTCAGTAAGCCTATTTTCCTTCATTTTGTGCAAGTATGACTTGTATTTTGGCTGATGAAAGGCATTTTTTGAAGATGTCTTGCTCATATAAAGTTACTTTTTTCCACAGTGTGTTCTAGTTAGAATAAGTGCGGGGGGTGAGGACAGTGGAGGTGGTGGTGTTTACAGTGTCATATTTCAGAGACTTTCATCTTGCTGTGTTGAAATTACTCAGGCAAAAAGGATGGATAGCTGGAGATAGAGCAAAGCAAGTTGAAGAATTCTGGCAACGAAAGAGAGAAGCCATGGAAAACAAAGCTCGAGCTCAGGGACACATGGTATGAAATCTGGTCTTCCTGTGTGTATTACTGTTTCAGCATGCTTTGTGAGTCTTTGAAGTAGCATCATAAGTGAAATACTGACTAAATATTTTCCTTAAGTGTTGAAGAAAACAGAGAAGGGGAGATGAGTTTTCTGCATTTTGTTGCTAATTTTAATAAAACGTAACATAATCGTGCAGCAGATTTCTCATTACTTCAAGCTTATTAACAAAGGAAATTATCTTTGTTTGCATGTGTCTAACTTGCTATTGTCAATTTTAGAAGATTCATTTACATTTTTTTTTCTATTTATACTTTGGAGTCGTGGTTTAAATTAAACTTTGTGTTATACAGTAGCTTGAACTGAAAATAGAGTTTGATTAAACTGATACAGCTAATGATCAGACATAGTGGTGGATGCTAAGAAAACACATTCTGCATATTGAAAAGGTATTATAAAGTCATCCATATCTGTCAATGTTGATTCTTATAAAACCTTTACTCTTTAGAAATAAAGTAGAAGATAGTGTCGTAAAATATTCTTTATGCTTATGGTTCTAAATTCAGTATTCCTTTAGAAAGTTTGTTTAAAACTTATATTGGAAATGACTATGTGTTTTGATAACATGGAGGGTTTTACTTTTTGAGTGCTTCTCCACACTATTCATATGCAATTCAGTGACAATATCTTTGTCAGCTGCTGAAATTGAATTGACTGTGCTGGAATAGCAGTGAGATGAGACCAACTGCAGATTTATAGCAGCATCTTCTGAGTTATACCTGATAATCAGATTATGGTTTAAAGCCAGGTCTTAATGTCAGCGATTATTTCACTTACAGGAAGCAATTTTTGTGTGCTTTGATTAACTGCTTTCATGGTGAAGTATCCTTAGATTAGTATCTATGTTGTAAAATATGAGTTTTCCTCTCTAAAACTATGGTTCTGTTTTTTAAAACCATCAAGACCAGCAAATAATTTTGAAAAATAAATAGCAATTCTTGTCACTACCTTTTCTTGGAGAAGTTGTGGTTAGTACCATGTATTCTTGGAAAGTTGTTAGCAGTACCAGTATTGCTTCCATTTTGTTCTTGACTTTGTTGTCATTGATATGAATTTATGAGATCAGTTAATTTCAGATACCCAACTATTCATGTTAATTTTTTTCACTTTTCTCTAATGTGTTCAATAAGCCTAAATGTTTTAATCTTAGATGGTTCCCATAAAAAAAACGGGTAGGTTACTGAACAATTAAAAAAGTAACTTCCAGATGTTTAAGAGTTATAACTTGAAGCCAGAGTACCAGGTCCATTTCTGGATTTGTCATTGAAAGTGGAAGTTATCAACAGCTTCCTTCTATTTGTGCAGGAAAATAATTTGACTAACTGGCAGTTGTTCTCATATAGGGATGGGACTGTTGTTTGGACAATGTTGATCTGAAAGGAGAAATCATCAGCTAATAGTCAGCCTTTTGTCTGACGACTGGCACTAATTTACCCAGCATCTATAAAATATAATTGCTGTCAATTTTAATTTTCTGCTGACAATCTAAATTTGACTCAGTGGTTGAGTCAATGGTACTTTCAGACATCTGTTTTTTAAGACAGCTGCTGACCTAATTTGCTACTTCACTGTAGCTGTGTGGCATTGCAAAATATGAGTCCTATCTTTTGAAAATTTAATGTAGGCAGATGAGTAAAATTAACAATCTATAAAGAAAATCAGTTCTCAAAAATCTTGCTTCCAGTTTTTTTTCTTAAGAGCAGTGATATAAATCACCATCAGTGATGGAAATACCTAAAATAACTTCAATGCTAGAACCAAGAACAAGAAATTCCTTCAATAGTGCCAGTAAGCTTTTGTAAAGCTCAGGAACATGAATTTAAAAGTTAAAAATAAAACCAAATATTTTCTGAAAAGGTGAATATGGAAAATATTCTTTTACATTTTGTATGGCTTAATGCTCAAGCTGAAACCAGCATTCATGGGGCCCTTATGAATGTATAGGAACTATTCTTCCACAAAATTCCTTTAATTTGTTCTCTGATCCCCTGGTTACTAAACCAGTGAAGTGCAGCAGTGTGCTATTTCCTTGAGCTGCTAATTTTTCTCCATCTGAGAGATTATTTAACCAGAATATCTGGATTCAGTCAATAACCTCCCTAGAGTGAGGTTTTTTACTGATGGTTCTCTATACACAAGCTTGAGAAAGCCAAAGCCCCAGGCATTTTATAAGGCAGAAGGTCTATCACATGTGTGTGTGCTTGCTGTCTTTATTGTATGTTGCACTAACAAATCGAGGAATTTTTAATCTGTTCAGAAAAAAAATGTGGTATGTCATTAGTAAAATAATTCAAGTGTTCTTGATTTTAATCCAAGCAGAAAACATGAAGTTAAATGATTCTTGTAGTCTTCTACACAGAACATTCTTAAAGGTTGAAATCCTTTTGGTGACAAGTCACAGAGTCCATCACATTAACCAAGTCTATACACTGCATGTGTATTAGACATTTAGCACAGCTTGTTAGGTGTAATGAGTATATGTAAGTGCTTTTAGGTTTTTGAGTCATCATTGTTTAAAAAGCTTAATCTAAGAACGTAAAAAGATTCCACTTTCTATTTTAGGCTTAACTCAGCAATGGCAGAAGTCCCAACCCTGTGCCACTATTTTTATATAATCCAGATGTAGGAAGCTCATACCATCACAATTTAGGTTTTCTAACCTAAATTTTCTGTAGCATGAGAAAATCTGAATTGAAAGGAGAAGGCAGCTATATTCTTAGAGCTCTTATGTCTCTCTTTGGCTGCTCAGAATTTTTAGTTACTGCTGTCATGTGTTTCATGTAAGTGAAAAAGACTTTTTGGTTAACTTCAGAACATCTGCAGATCTTTGATTGGTTTCTTATAAGTGAACAGTTATTGCATAAAGCAGATAATTTTACTGCCCCAGCCACCTTAAATTTGATACCATTAAATGGCAAACAGGGTACACTGCAAAACCTGGCAGATACCTATGGAGGCAGGTCCATTTCTGCAAGAGGAAGGAAATCCAGAAACAAGGAGGAAGAGGTATGCTTGCTGCATGTTTGCCACTTTGCTCATCACAAAAATAGCACTATTTTGACCTTGACTGTGCCCAGTTTCCCTGCATGGTTCCATCTGTGTAACAAAATTAAAGGACTTGCTTAATTCCTAGGAAATAATTTACTGTTCACGTACTAAAGTTTGGGTGTGTTTAATTGTTTTTGTTTTTAAAATAATCAAAATAGTAGTTGCTTACATCAATCTGTCTGAGAGGTTCTTGAATTTGATACACGTAGGTATAGCTATATCCTAGTTCTGTTGTGATAAATGCAACCTTTCCTGGCTTTCAGTAATGTAAAATGTAGTTATAATTAGCACCAATAAACATACATTGCAATTTTCTTTATTTTAATTATGTGAGAATTTTTCTGGAGATTAGTGTATGCTAGTGAAGTGGTAACAATAATGTTGGGGAGTGATTCACTCATTTTATTTCCTTGCGGTATCTGATATTTTAAGTTAACCATACTGGAGAGAGTTTCCATAGAGCTGAAACTTGTTTCATTTCTTTGCATTAGGAATATTTGGCAAGATTGAGACAGATCCGGCTACAAAACTTTAATGAACGTCAACAGATTAGAGCAAAACTTCGTGGAGATAAGGTTGGTTTAAAAATAAATACTTCTGAAGTTGAGTGTGTGGTGTGTTCTTTTACCCCTGGTGGAAGACTTTTGTTTTAGGCAGTTTTATATAGACATGTATTTTAGACAGCATATATATATATTGAAAAAACCTGGAATTCTAGAGCATCAAACCTTTCTTGTATACCTCACCTGCAAGAACATGGAGCAGTGATGAGGGGTGGCAGGTGAGAGCCCAGCATTGCAGGCTACTTTCCTTGCAACAAGAGGCACATTCCTTTTTTCCTGACTTATTAAAGCTTCACATCTTTTAAAACCAATCCTCCCTGAAAAACCAAACAAATAAACAAAACCCCCACTGGTCTCAGAGATGAAGCTCTGTTCAAGTAGACATTGCATTTAAGCAAGGAGTTAGTGAAACTGATCCATGTTAGTTATATAGTCGTTTCAAATATTCTGGCTAGGCACTCATGTCACTCAGCTTTTTTAAACATGATGATAATTCCATGAAGACTTTTACTTTGCAGAATGAATCTGCCAGTTCTGATGGACAGGACTCTAGTGAGGAAGCAGAACTGAAACGGAAGAAGATAGAAACGCAGAAGGTAAGTGTAGAGTGGGAGGAGATGGAAGTTACTGTTGTCAAATATGTTTTATATCTCATTAATTTTCTTATATTTCATTTTGCTATCAATAGTTTGTTCATGTATCCACTACAAGCGGAATGGGAGGAGTTTAACTGTATAGAGCAAACAACTCTGTTCAGCTGCTTTATCTTGGTAATTTTAAAACATGATGAAACATAATGTAGTCTATCCTTGCAAGTCAAGGATTTTCCCTATCCCAGTCTTTGAGATTTATCTCTAGGGTAGCTTTAGTCCTAATTGCAATTTGTATAACTAAAACAGCAGTTTGAAACTGAAAGGGTAAGGAAAATGTACCTTAGAAACCACCTTTATTTTAGTTAAAGAATAAAGGAAGGCAAAACTCCTTAAATGGGCTGACATGGGTTATGTGTGCATTGGAATGTGAGTTATAGAACCTTGTGATGAATTACATTTTAAACAGATGCATTTCATAGAAATACAGTGTTTAATTAGAACTTTATTGCAAGTGGTGTTTTTATATCAATAACTAGTTCATGATACTATACACAGCAAGTATTACTCTTATCTATTCTATGATGTTCCCGCCACCATCGGCAAAGTACAGTGTAAAAACAAGCTAACTTTTTGCCTACCCTGAAAACTAGAGGTGAAACAGCAAGTGAAGCTTTTTGTGTATGAGTAAGTTAGTAAAAATTAAACTGACTATTTAATATTTTTTGATTAATGCATTTGCCTTCGTAGATAATTTTAAGTAGAGTTTCTAATTTTACATTAGTCTATTTAAGATTACTATGTACACTAAAAATACAACCATGCAAATCAAGAACTGAAATTAAATTTTGAGGAGTTGCCATTATTTCAACATAGATGATCAGTTATTATACAGGTGTGGTGATTTTGTCACTGGAGTCCTCCTTTCACAGTTTATACAATAGTGAGAGAAAGGATGATGAGTAATCCAAGAATATTCCTTCTTAAAATGTTCCATGAAATAGGCTGCTGATGATTTTAAGTTGATCTTTTTTTTTTGCTTGTTTACTGTAGGCCCAAGCAAATGCTCGTGCAGCAGTTCTGAAGGAACAGTTGGAGCGAAAGAGAAAGGAAGCGTATGAAAGAGAGAAAAGAGCCTGGGAAGAGCATGTAAGAAAATAAATCTGTTACATGCAGTCGAAGTATGTAGAGCCATATCTTTGTATAAATAAAATCCTATACTGTGATTTTTCAAACAAGTAGTTCTGAAATTGGAGAGAGTATCTTGTGTCAGAATTCCCTAATTAGAAGCCTAATCTTAGGTATGCTTGCAGAAAGACTTCTGAACATCATGCCTAAGAATCATTAGGATCACCCCAACTATCTTATTAATCATCTGTTAATGACCAAAACTTATTTTATTTTCTTTTATTTGTGTGTGCTATGGAACAAATCCAACTAATAATATTATGACTAGAAAAAGCAGGATGTGAAGCTGACAAACTGACATGCAGTGGGCAGTTGTCCTTTGTGTGGTTGTGTGGCATTATTGTCTTTCTGTAAGGATTACATGAGCCTAATTGATAATACTGTATTTAATATGTGAAGTCTTGACGTAAATTTTTAATGTAATTTTTTTTTTATTGCATCTATACAGCTGATTGCAAAAGGGGTAAAGAATCCTAATGTGCCTTTTCATGTGGAAGCTACAGAGCATAATCCTATGAATGGACTACAAGAGTCTGGGGCAGCTCTTCCTAAGCCACAGCTTCCAGTGAAGCCTGGTGTACCTGTCATCTCCATGACTTCTGCTTTGAAGGAAGTGGGTGTGGTAGGTACTTTTGTGGCGAGGGTAAAATGAAGGGAAAGGCAGTAAATACTGACTGGAAAGAGAATGTTTAGAGAAAGTAGGTATAGGTTAGCTAGAAAAAAATTGTTAAGGCTGTTTGTTGTTTCTCATTAGGGAAAAGAAATAAAAAAAAAAAAAATAAAAAGAAACCTAAGCTTGGAAGGTGTTGAAACTCATCTGTATGCTGAAACTGAAATTCGTGTTTTGAGCAAAATAGCTTATGATGAACCCTAAGTGGCAGTTTCCATTTTGATCAGGGCAGTTATATTCAGTCAAAGAAGACATCAACTTCCAGCATTTTCATCAGCCCCTTGAAGAGAGGAGTTAATGAGTTGGTTACTTGGTGGAAGTGAGCAGATAAATTTTGAATGATAGGACTATGTTATATTAATGACTGATTGTTTTTAGTGAGCTTGAATGTGCTGAATATTACAGAGAAGACAAAGCTTAAGATTCTTAAATCTGTTAGTGCTGTCTCGTTATCTAAAAGAGCATCCTAATTTATATTCTGCATGTTCTCGGTCCTGATATTGTAAATACTTACATGTTTACCTCAACTGCTTTATGTTACAATTGTGAAACTGAGCAGACAAGTGTAACCTTGTACAATTTAAAATTTAAACACAATCTGTGTTAATTTGAATGCTATCTTTTGTACATTTGCCTAAACTGTTTCTAAATTTCAGTGTAGTGTGGTACTTCATACTGTATTCAGCCCTGAAGGCTACAGCTATGGGAATAGAGCAAAACTTACACTAAAGAATATATGTAAAATATAAAATGTTTTACACTGAAAGACGTCAGTTGATAGCTGGAAAAATAAATAATATGTTTTAATAAAGCATATTTTTCCATGTGGACAGTGTCTCACAGTAATGCAAGACAGTGACTGTAACAGACTAAAAAGTAGCACACAGAGTAATTGGAATTGAAGAATACAAGCCTTGTAAACAGATTATAAATTCCACATTTTTGCCTTCAATATGTAGTTGGCTTATTTACATGTCACTAAATTTGTCTCTTTTCTTTTTTTTTCTTCATAAATTATCTTTGCCTCTGTGCTTGCCACTTTTTTGGTTCTCTTGTAGAATTACTCATTTGTAGCAAAGGAATTTCCGGTGTTATCTTGCAGTAGAGGTTATATCTGGCTTTATCTTTACATGTTTCATCCTCTAAAATCTCATTTGTCTGTTTAAATTGAGTGATTTACTTGCTCATCACTTTTAGATAGTGATTGGTTCCAAGATGGAAGCTGCCCTTGAAATTCTGTCTTTGGGACAGAATAAAACAGAATAATCAAGAATTGGGTTTCAGTCTACCTGCAGTTGTCATTGGAAAGGTTTTGTTATATCTATTTTCAAGATAATTTTTTTCTGACATGTTCTTCTACTTTCTATTTCATGCTTCTGGGACTTAAAGGACGAACATGCAATACCTGCTGTCCAGGAGTCTGAGGAGGAATTAAAAAAGCCAGATTTTGCATTACAAGTATGTCAAATTATGTCATTGAAGTATCCTTTCAAGAAAGGCTCTATTTTAATACATATGTTGGTCCTTCTTTCAGAGTAAGCGAGAAATTCTGAGAAGATTAAATCAAAATCTTAAAGCTCAAGAAGATGAGAAAGGAAAAAAGGAGGGTAAAAATACCTCTGAATCAGCTGGATCTGAAGATTGTAAGGAACAACAAGGTGATCAGCCACTTCTGGGAGATCGCAAAAAATGGGAATCTGGGGCATCTGAGTTGGTTGTTCCTCTAGCTCAGCTGTCGATGGAAGATTCTTTCTCTGGAGCAGAGTGTAAGTTGTTTTTTTTTTTTTGTCACCATGGTATTAGTAAATCAGTTTGCCATGTGTAGTGTGTGTTTTTATAAAGCAAGTACTCTTCATTATTATCATCTTGTTATCAGTTACATGGCATGCACTTCTAAAAATGGGTGGTTATGTATTCTCTTAAATAAGGAATAAGGAACAGGCTGACTAGTTAAACAGCCTGCAGGAGATTCAATAAATAATTCCATCATTGCAACAACAAACAGTTACCTAATTAAATGAGTGGTTCCTTTCTTCATGTCTTTTAAATAGACACTAATTTAACAGAAAGAATAGAAAGTATTTAAAATATATGAAAGTTTCTTATTCAACTTGAAAATCCTGTTGTGTTATCAGTAGTAAAAAAACAACTGAGGGTTTTTCTTTATTTAGATCTGTAACTTTTGTTGAGCCTTTCTTACTGTTTTCCTTTCTTAAATCAAGATTGTTATTTCCGATTTTCCACTTTCCTTCTCTGGTCTTTTGGCTGAAACCCCTTTTTTCTGGTTTCAGTATACCTTACAAAGTCTGTTTCACATTGTAGAAAGAAATAATCATTAAGAATGTAACAGACTTGCATCTTTGCATAGTAGTTTTATAGTGCTAGAATCAAGAAACTTTTTACTGTGTTTTTCTTTGTTGCTTTGTATCCTATTTTCCTTGGAAGGAGAATTAACAGAAATAAATGTCAAAGGAGATAGCAAGACAAGAAACTTCCTAGTTAACCATTTCAAGTAAAGCCCAAGACCATTCCATGCCAATGTTAAACATTCCTTATACTGCTTTCGTTTGGAGTGCCTGAATTTCTGAAAGGAGCTGCTGCTGCTGCTTCTAAGTTGCATATGTCTACTGGTATTGAATAACTCTGTTATTGATTGGAATTGGCAGAAGAAAAACTCTAGATAAGCATAGTCTTCAGGCTGTCTGATTTGGGCTGAGGTGACATGAATTCTAGCTTTGTCACCTTTTTAGTTTTAAGTTTTGTGGAGGTTGTTTGTTTGATTATTTATTATACAGAAAATGAATAAAAATTTCTAATTTAGAAAAATTTTCATATTTGTGTTTGTGTCCAAACAGGTCAAACTCTGGGAGAAGTAATTAAGTTAGATGTTGGTGAACCTCACAGGAAAGTCTGGGGCAAAAGCCCAACAGATTCAGTTCTGAGGATCCTAGGAGAAGCAGAGCTGCAGCTGCAAACTGACATCCTTGAGGAACAAGATGAGATAAATGGTACGCACAGTGGGTAATTATCTGCACTGCAAGTGTAGTGACAGTTTATCTACTGAGAAAAATTTTGAAGTAATAGAAGCATATTCTTATATTCTCTCTTGCTTTCTACTTCTGGGTGTTGCCTCAGTTCTGAATGTAAGCACAAGCTGATACTGGAGGACACCAAAATATTTCAAACTCAGTGAAGTGGTAAGAAATTAACCAGGGTGTGCTGAAAGGAAAGGATCTTCATTTCGCTGAAAAGTCTTAAATTTTGCCTTTTAATAGAAACAATCCTATTTTTTGAAAGGATGTCATCATCTGAATATTGCATTAGATGCTTCCTGTAACTTTGTTGGCAGCATGTGACTTAACCATATCAGTTGATTTTTTTTTTTTCCCTCCCCCGGTCAACTCCTGCCCTTAGTTCTTTCTAAGGAAAAAGGACTTACATTTATTCCAAATATAAACCTGTACTAATGATAATGTAACATAAGAAATTAGGATTTTAATATTTCCAACTTTCTTCTTTATATAGTTGTACTAAAAGCATGCAATTTTTTTCCTTCTGCTTTCCTTTAAAGAAACAAAAATTCCCAGCTTACCTTTTCAGCCACATTGTAGTTCATTATCCAAATATGGTGAATCGCTGTTTAAATAATAGAATAATTTTCTGTTAGGTACTGCAGAACTTCTTGAAGGAGATCATCAGTCATCATCAGAGGAGAAGGAAGAGAAGGCTTTTTCTCCTGTTGGAGCTCAGTCTGCAGTACCAGTTGGTGTTACAAAGTCTGTCATGACTGTACCAGAAGAATCTCAAAGAACTGGACCCACTCTGGTGCAGAGCAAAGCTATTATGCTGGATGGTAACTCATTTTGTCTGTAATTCTACTTAAAATCTGTTTATTGAATGCAAAAAGCGAAGTAACAACCCTGTATACTTTTATATCTTCCCATAAGTAATGTGCAGGTATTTAATAACACATTTTAGGTAGGACCAGATGCTTTCTATGCTGTGTTGTAATCTGATTCAGTAATGTATTCAGTAAATTTCCAGAAACATTTTTTGTGTGCTTGTAGAAAACTTTAGAGTACAAGTAGAATTCTAAAGTGCTTCAAATTTTTTGTTGCTGATTTGCTGGGGTTTTGGTTTGTTTCTACCCATCAATTGTGCTGGATTCTTTTCTCCTATATGATACCAGCATCCTTTTGATCTCTGGGGCATGTTACTGAGGTTTTTAGAGGACATAGTTCATTGGCGCTTTAAGATGCTCTTCTGGTATCAGAAAAAAGCCAAAACTTTTAGCTCTGGGATTAAAAAACTTCTGTTTCTGTGAAATGTGGAAAATTATTAAAGCTGAAGGATTTAAGTGTAATCTTAAAATGTATACTTCCCCATCTTTTTGCCTAATTGGAATTAATTTTTAATAAGGTAAATGACTCTTACTTTTAGAGCCTGATGATTTGGAAGCAGAGGTGCTGGAAGAAATGGAAGATAAAATGCACCTGAGTAAGGAGAATAAGGAGTTTCCTAGCACTGTTAATGAAGTGTGGGTAAAAGAGAAAGAGGATGAGTAAGTACTCTCTTCTGACCTCTCTCTCTCCAGTTCAAACAACTGAGCCTTAACTGAGTTGTATTTGGACATGTCAGTTAAAATTATACTTAGCTAAAGCTTCATTGCTTGCTGCTGTGTTAGTTTTACTGCACTTGATGACTTCATTAGACTGATGACCATTTTTTACCTGGCATTTCCCCTTGATGTGATGTGTTACAATAGGGCACAACGTGACGGAATGAATGAGGCATCTTCAGAGAAAGAAGCACTCAACAAGGTGCAACCACAAAAGGAAGCTCCAGCAGGTCAGTGCCAGTCTGATGTTCCATGGCTTGGCAGAGTGGGGTGTTTGAGCCATCCCATCTCACTTCATGAACCGCAAATGAGCAAGTTTTTTGTTTTTTGCTTGTTCAGTTCTTACTTCTAAAAAGGAAATTTCTGATGGATTAGGAAGACAAATTGTGGGTGTTGTGTTTGCCACTGTGGAGGAAAACATGTTAGACAATAGCTACAGTGTGTGTAGATCAACAGGACAGTGGCCTGTACTGATGAACGTCAACTTTCTGAATGTTACAGCTTTTTCACATGACTATTTAGGATGTTATGAGATCTGATTATTTACTTAATAGAAGTGTTGCTTTGTTTATACACGTTTCAAATTAATACTGAGCTGCAGCTCAATGTTTTAGTGGGTGCTAATGACAATCTTTTATCTTTATTGCATAGAAAAATTGCTTGTTCTTGGAGGTATGGGAGGTAACTTCAGAAAAAACATTGTCAATACTGTCGAGTATCATTGGTGATACTCTTGCATCTAGTTAAGGTGGCTTCAGCAAACTGGATAGGTTTTTCCTCCTGTTTGGGCAAAATATGTTGAGATAACTTCAAAGAGATCTAGTATAACGTGATAAGCAATGGGTGAAAATGGATGACACAGTATCAGACATGGACTGGATAATGAGAAAACAGAAGGCTTGAGAACAGAGCTGAGGGTTGTATGTTCTCCACAAGTTCAAATGGGAAAATTTGACATTGTAATTGCATTTAATAAAATGATCACAAATATTTTAATACTTTTAAGGTGCTATCTACATTTCCCTTAAATTGTATAAGAGAAATTAGTTAGGTATATTCACAGCACTTACTTTTTCCTTAAGTATCATGGGTTTTAGTCTGTTGAGATTTGTAACAGACTTTCTTTTACCACATCAGAAACTTGTTCCAGTGACTCTCAGCGAGCTGAACCCTTATTCCAGAGGGTAATACAGCCCACAGCTGTACCAACAGCCTCACCAGTTCTGTCAGCTCAGTCTTCACAGGAAGAGTCTTTTGTACCTCGTTCACGTTCCATATCACCAGCAAGAAATAAAGGCAAAAGTTCATTGTTGATTGGACTTTCTACAGGACTTTTTGATGCAAACGACCCAAAGGCAAGTCTAGAAAACGAAAAAGAAATACTTTTTTGTTCTCCAGTATTATTCTTACCTTGTTATTGAAGTTGAATGAGTCCAGAAAGATGGCACAACTCTTTCAGCAGGTGTTTGTATTTGTCAATCTATGTCTGCCCTGTAGTTCAACTGCACTGTGCTCATGGTATCAGCAAGTCTCATGCAGCAGTGAAAGTCTCTGGTTTCACCATCCAATATTCTATGTTCCAGGTGTTTGTGGAGGAATTCCACTCTTTTTCTGAGACATTACTGAGGGAGTTCATGAAGACATTCCTAACTTTCCTCATCTGCTTTCTCTCTTTTGTGCAGTCTTTTAGAGTTATCACTACCTTGCCATCATAAACAATTACCTAACAGGGTGGCAAATATATCTTGTCATTTCTGCCAACCAAGTGATTTTTTCCTGTAGGATCTAATCTACTAGCACAGCTTCTGGCTGTGAAGTAGGAAGCCTGAAGAACAGTGAAATCTCATTTTAAAGTCTTTTATAAACTCAAGCTGTCTTTAATATTGTTACCAACCAAGCTTTCTATTGCCTTTGTAGATGTTGAGAACATGTTCACTCCCAGATCTTTACAAACTGTACAGAACTTTAGTTGATGTTCCCAGTGTAGCAGATGTGCAGCATCAAAATAATCTTGAAACAGATGATACAGAAGATGAGCAAGCCAAAGAAGGACCCTCTGACTCTGAGGACACGTGAGTGTATCAATTTTATCAAGTATTTTAACAGGCATCTTAGTTCAAGAATGTTTTTGGTTAGCTACAACTGTTATACACACTATACAAGCATGGATTTTTTACCCAGATGTTAAAAATTTTGTATTGAACCATCATTTACTTTGTCTTGTTCCAGAGAATTGAGAAGCTAATGGGGTACACTGCATACAATAGCTGTCTAAATTTCCTTCCCAAAATCTGTCCCAGGTGTTATTCTGTCTGGTGTCTGCAACTTGTCTTTTGCTCAGGCAACTCAAAGTTGATTGCTATTGCTCTTCTAGAACTAAAAATTTCTTGAATATTTCCTTTCTTTCTATATTCTGGGAATCTTGCTCATTTATGTCCTCTACTGTTTAATTACAATGTTCTTCAAGTCCCTCAAAATCTGACCTTGGAATTGACTATTCCCCACAGCTTTGATAGTCTGGTGTATCGAGACTGATTAGATCTAGATCTCTATTTTGCTCCAGACACATTTTTACCTGTATTGAAAATGTTATATTTGCATGGATTCAATAATAGTGCACAAACACAAGGATTTTGAAATTACCTTACTCATAAAGTTGAATTTAGGACTTACTGTCTTTATATGAGATTGTGGGAGATCTGCTTATTCCCTGTGTGTTGCATGATACAAAGGTATCAATGCTGTAGTCATGTTGGACTGAGGTCACAAATAGCTGGGAGAGGAGGGTGGAGGATGTCTCTTTTTTTTCCCCCTCCATCGAGACTGGCTTTTCAATTTGCTGCTAACAAAAGAAATTAGCTCTTTCTACAGGGTTTGTCTTGCAAAGTATTAATTATATAAACTTCATATCACATTTCTTTAGTATGTTTGGAGAGACAGATACAGATTTGCAGGAGCTCCGGGATTCAATGGAACAGTTGCTTAGGGAGCAGCCTAGTGAGGAACTGAGTGAAGAAGAGGAGTCTACTTTAAAGGCTAATGCCATGGAATGCATAACAAATGGTACTGAGCTCGATGAAGGAGATGAAAATAACCCCAGCAGTGAAAGTGCTCTTAATGAAGAATGGCAGTCAGGTATAATATCTGTTTTACCTGTTTTATAAGTTATTTATTAATGTTAAAAATTCAGATACAGAATGTTTTAGCTTCTTTAACTTATAGCAAAGTAAAGCTCTAATTGATAATTTTTACACATAGATTTAAAAAATCAAATTATATTCAGACTTTCTGAATGTTAAGGTCAACATCTAAGCGACATTCCATGTTGCAAATTAAAGCTTGGCTGTTTGTTGGGTAGTGATGGTAAGGGCCTTTTTCTCTAAATTGTTTAAAACTTGGCTTCAAGGAACATCAAAGACAGAATGCATTGTATGTCTTGAATAATTCATGGCTGTAAGTGTGAAAAAGAAATAGCAATTTACATGACTGGAGTATCTGGGATTCAGCTTAAATTATAGTTAAGTAATTTTACAGGCAGTCACAAGGAACATGAAATTGTTCACCTTGTCCTTAGCCAAAATTAGGTATTAATGCAGTCAGACTAAAAGTGAGACAGATAAATTAATTACTGCTTTTAGCATTTTGCATTAGCTCTGCACAACTTCCTAAAGTTTCATTTCTGTATTTTCAATTCTTGTGGAATTTGAAGTATTTTACTCTTACTGTAAAATGAAGTGCAACTAAAAATATAGTTATGAAAAGATACAGAAAATCAGTAGCTCATCTAAAACAAAGCTTTTGTGTAATTTTTATTGAAGAAAATTTTTGACAAATCGAACATCTAATAATACATTCCAATAATTATTTTAAGGTGAAATAAACGTTGTTAATGTCTTTAATTTTGTCACAGTGCTGATGTTATACACTGATAACATGCAATACTATCTGTGTCTGTGATTCTGCAGTTGTTGTAAGTGCTAGTGTTATACCAGAGTCCTACCTTCTAGATATTCCATAAGAATTTCAAGTTTCCTTGTTGGGGCAGGGAGGAAGGCAGGCCAGCCTTCAAAAGGGTAGCAGGTAGAACTTGAGACAAAATCTTCTCAAGATCTAGATGTTAAATAGAGGATTAGAAATAACCTAATGGGTTTTTAACCCATATACAACTTTATATTTTATTGATACTTTCTTATTGATTTGGCTGTTGATATTTGAATGAAGGATGTGATTTGGTCAGGACTATATCTTACACTAGTCATATATAAGTATTGTAAGTACTAGAGTTCTAATACAACCTCATGAAGTCTGTGATCTACCAGGTAATAGTATTTAAAGGTTGGATATTAGACACTCTGAAATGTATGAAGTTTTTCTCTGGTAGACAAGTTCTCTCCAAATTCGAATGCTTATTTAAGAAAGTATTTTTCCTACATTTTGCAATGGAATTTTACATAAGGATTCTGTCTTGTATTTTTTAAAACATCCTTTTTATTAGATTTACCTAATGTTTTACTATTAAAACCTATTTCAAGGTTTCTGAAACCTATAAGCAAAATGATCTTGATTTCTCTCCTGCATCTTGTTGCACCACTTGGCATACTTAATTTGCTACACAAAGGAGATGCACTTACAAAAGAACAAGGAACTCTGTAGCTAAATTTGTGCTGGGTTTTTTGCTCCATGGAGCAAGATGCATCTCAGGGCAGAAAGCAATGGATGGGTAACATACATGTCCTCATTTTTTGGTAGAAGACACCTGCTTCATTAAGGAACTCCTTTCCCTTGTGTGGGACAGCTGCCAAGCCCTTCATGAGTTTCATCTCAGAAATTTATAGAGTGGTGGTATGGAACTTGACCTACTTTGCTAACTAAAATTCTCCTTTAAGACCGTACCTTGTTTTCCTTCAGGTTGAATACCTCTATGGCTAATTGTCAGAATGGGAATTTAGTTGGGATAGCTGGATGCTTCCCATTTGGGATTCAGGATTTTTTTAAAAAAAGGGACTATTCCTATTTTCTGCACATTGTCAGAACATCTGCCAACATCATCTAGTGCTCCTGAGCTTACCTTTAGAGATTAAGAAACAACACTAAGAATGTAGGAGAGCTGAGGGTGTTTTACTGTTGTTTTCTTTCTTTCTAGATAATAGTGATGGAGAGATTGCCAGTGAGTGTGAAGAATGTGATAGTATCTTCAGCCATTTAGAAGAGTTGAGATATAACCTGGAGCAGGAAATAGGCTTTGATAAATTAATTGAAGTTTATGAGAAAATAAAGGTTTGTGGAATAAGCTCAAGTGAAAATGTTTGAAGAAATAAGCACCTAGCACTGTTTGCTATGCCAGTTAACTAATTACTTCGTGTAACTGGAGTAAAAGGTTTTTTCTATAGTCTTTTAATTTGTTTTGGCACACTAAAATATTATCAGAGAAAATGCCTGGCCAGTGGATTAAAGAGAAAATCTTCTGGTTTAACCATGAATTTCATTTAATATATTTGAACTATTTAATTTTATACCCATTTTAATTTTGGCAACATGGTTTGTTCTTCCCACTAGGCTATACTTGAAGATGAAGATGAAAATATTGATGTTTGTTCAACTGTAGTTCAGAGTGCTCTTGGAAATGAACACAAACACCTGTATGCCAAAATACTTCATCTGGTAATGGCAGACGGAGCCTACCAAGAAGGTAATCTCAGTGTGTCCTGGCAACTGTGGCTTGTCTTGTGTTCTTTCGTGGTCATAAACAATATAGGTTCCAATACACTTTTAAAACATCATAATATCACATAATTTAGAACATGTCTGTGCTTTGGTATATTGATTGACTGAATTAATTAAAATGTTCCGCAAAGGTTATTTTTATTCCTGAAACAAAATGTGTCAAACTTTGCTGACCATTCTGATTTAACAGAATTTGCAGTCAACTGTAACAGTCAACTGTCTGTACAGTCAACTGTAACAGTAATTGGCCTCCAAAAGGTACAGTATAATTATTTAATTTCTGTAAAACAGTTTCACAGATGGGGAAAGGAAATACAGCACAAAACTTGCAGAATCAAAACCAGTTTTATCTTAAGAATGAATGAACTTTTAGCTAAAATAGTATTATGCTTTCTATAATGTTACTTTTAATAGATTGCACCATCACTCCTTTTCAGAAATTTCATGGAGCTCTTTATCCTATAATTAGCATTTTTCAGAAGACCTTGATGTGTATGTACCATCCATCTTATTTAGTGTCTCAGTAATAGATGAAAATAATTTATTTTGCCCTGGAGCCCTGCCCAGATTGGCAGAGTTTACAGGGCGGATGGATGTTGCTCCATCTTTCAGAGTCACACTTATGAAAAACCACACAGACCACCATCAGTAATGGAATACTTCTGGTTTTTTTCATTTCTCTCATGTCAATAATTTAACTGCAGTTATGTATTTTTGGATTTCTAATGGTGAAAGTCTTCACTGGAGAGGAGAAAAAGAAGAAATCTAAACTTTTAATTAGTTTTATAGAAATCAGAAACATTATATATTGGCTTTAAAAGTATGTGCAATGATCACTCTTTAATGCATTTCAATTTTCAAAAAAATATTCTAATACATGTTAACCAATATGTACTTTCTGCATCTTTTAAATTCTTTTAAATGTGTTGCATTGGTACTGCAAGGTCAAATAAGGGTACAGCTTTCTGTGACTTTTATATGTGAATACTTGGGGGAGTGTCTTAAAACTAGTTAGAAAAACATAACTTTTTTTTTTTCTTAATTCTAATCCAAATTACGTTCTCTCCATTTTTTTTCTACTGATATAGAGCCGCTAGGTAAGAATAATCATTTCCATGTTGTTTTCATGCTGTGTTAGAGAAGTGCGACAGAGAAATGTCTAAAAAATATTATTCAGGCACAATTTCTTGATTTAGTGGCAGATTTGGAAAGATGCACTGTAATAGTCCATTTCTCAAGTATCCAAAAGACTGGCAATATAAAATAGTAAGAAAATGGTTACTAGCGTGTCACCATTTTCTTTTGCTTGCTACTATGCTTTAAGGATAGTTAAAAACTAGTGATTTTAAATGAAAATTTGCTGAAATGTTGGCATATAATTTATAAGCTGTTGTCTGAGTGAATCCTATTAAAATGAGCTGACTTTCATCTGGCAAAATGCTGATTAACAAGTGGCTATTTTTATTAGATTCAGTTCTAATTCTATATTTTACAAATCTGTGGTAGCATCCAAAAATGATAAAAAGTAATTCTACACATTTCACACACTTGAATTAAAAAGTCCTATGCTAATAGGGGTGAATAGAGGACAAGTGGCAGACAGAAGAATCTTCATGAGCTTCTGTCTCAAAAGCCTTATACTCTTCAAATAAGAAATGTTCAGAGAAAATCTCTGTTCCTCTTTCCTAAGAGGATTTTCTAACCGAAGCAGGCCACTTGAGGTGCAACTATCTTAAATTCACTAATCCAAGTGTTCAAATATTTGTGTGTAGCGCTTTAAGGCAGCTTTGGTCATGGTCACCTCACTGGTGACAGACTTAGTGTATTCTTGTGTTATTGCTTACCGAATTACGGTTTCTAGATTGTTTTGTAACCCTAGCTTCACTTGTGTCTATGTGTGTCTCTCCTTTTCACGCTGCTCTCCCCTTCTACTTTGTACAGGTAATGATGAATGAACCTGACTCAGGAAATTCCTTAGTGCTTACTACACACCGGTGTCCGAAGTCCGCACAGCTGAACAACAAATTGTAGTGGAGAATGTAACATGGGGCAGGAGAGGCAAGACTTCAAAAAAGAATGTTGATTGTATGAAAAAGAGAAAAAACATGTCTTTTAAATGGAGATACCTTTAGAGTTCTCTTGTGTGGATTTGCATATGTGTTCCTTAAATATTAGGTGCCCAAAATGTTAAAAAACCTGCGCCAACGAAACAACAACAACAAAAAAATCAACAAAACCCAAAAACCTCAACAAACCAAACCAAAAACCCCCAAACCTGTAACCTCTCAAATTTCAAAAGTAACAGACAAAGAAATACCTGTATATATTCTGATGCAAAACTGAGACCTATAATTAAAACAGAACTTCTGCCATATGAACAAATAGCTGGTATGGTTGAACAGTTGAAAGCATTACTGTGTTGTGGAAGTACTCACATCTAGCTGTTCACTTACAGACTTCAAGTAGCTTTTCTTTACACCTACACAAAGAAATTGCTTTGTTTTTATTGACCCTCGTGGTTTTTTAATAGTATCTTAATCTAGTGGTCCAGTTCAAGCATTTCACTTTTATTGTATTTTGAAGCTGAAGGCTTCTGTCACATCTGAAATATTTTGATGGTGTTTCTTAATTAGGGCAAACTGGTACATAAGTCATCATTGAAATGTCTGAGGGGGTTTGGAATTGTAAAATCCATTTGGACCTAGAATACTCTTTATTTAAAATTTTTTTCTTCTTATTTTGCTTCTTCCCCTTTCCTATCCCCTTCCCAAAAATCCCAGTTCTTTACCTCTCTTGAATTTTGTAATCTGGTCCATGATGATGTACTACACTGTTGAACTGAAAAGGGGAGGTTTGCAGTTTGCCTTTGAAGTCTGCATGTTCTAGTCATTGCTCCAACAGCCACAGGGGAAAATGAAACATTGCAGCCACAAGTGCTGTGTAATACTTCACATCTTCTGGCTCCTGTATTGTACAGCTTGGTTTCCACTGCACTACAAGCAAAACCGGGTTTCTTCTGACACACATTTCCTTGTTCCTTGTGTCGAAGCAGTACTATACAGGGCAGACATTAGGGATTCTGTTGTTTTCCAGTCATCATCTCTGCATCTTTACTGGTTTATTTGTTACAGTAAGTCTCTTGTTATGAATTTGATGAACTGTCGAACTTCCAAGTGCCCTGTTGAAGAAAAATAGGTTTGGTTTCTTTTTTTTTCAGCTACAGCCAGTCTCAATCTAAAACTGTCAAAACTTGCTTTTCCACAAAGTAAAAACCAGTATATATATATATTTATTATTTAAACTGTCAGAATATGTACATGTTTTTTGTACAATTGCTTTATGGTGTCATTATTAAAATTTTGCCCACTGAAAAGGGTTAAATTTTTTTAGACAGATACCAAACTTATTCTAGTTCAGCAGTATCGTGGGAATCTGCGGTGAGAATAAAATTATTAATAATAAGAATAAAAAATTGCCTTCAATAGATTATTCTTTATATCCTTATTTCTTTGATAAACTCCTCTGACTTCATCTAATGAGAAACTATGATCAATTCTTGGAAATAGTGTTGGTTCTGGGCTATGTTGCTTCTCTCATTCCATTTCCTTCTTTACTTCCTTTTTCTTAACTTCCCAGAGTAAAATTTTTACGAGATTTCTCATCCATTCCACTTTCCACTGCTGAATAATCTATTCAGAGATGATCCTTATGAGCTACATCACTGGTGACTTTTAGCAAATACACTCTAAAGACTTTATTAAAGGATGATTCTGAATTATTTTCTTTGTTCAGGTTTGATTTTTGTAGTCATACCTTGCACACCTTTTGGAGGAAGGGAGGACTCAAAACCTTTAGATTTAAGATAATACAGAATAAGTGTATGGAAACAACAAAATACACAACTGGTATATTCTGTTCTCTATTGTTTTTAATCCCCTTAAGGTGGTAGTCTTACTGAAGTTACGGATTGGGCCGTGTTCACTTCTTTTAAATTGAAATCGTATCATTATTGACAGTCTTCATTTCTTATGCAGTGTACTGCCTTGCTTCTGGTGAGAAACATGGCATAATCTGCAGACTGCAAGATTTACAAACAGAGCTTTTTACCAATTAATAATTTAAAAAATACATGTAGATTGTGGACAGCTTTTTAAGAATAATCTTCAAACCTGCCACTCAAGACTGAATATCCTTGAAATCCCTCAAAAGCTGACTTAAAACTGACACAGTAAATAAGTTTGTCTGCAAAAGAAATACTTTCATCTGAAATGTTAAATCCATATTTAATATTCTATAATAACATCAAGGACAGTGGGGCTGCAAGATAATTAATTGGTCTGTATGCAATTTATTGAAATTAGTTGAGCATTTGGCTTCTGTGCATATGACATTCACCTTGAAGAATTTTCTGTTGTAGTTCTAGTTGAGATATGGAATGGTGTTTTTCACACAAAACACATTCTGTGAACTATATAACACTGATGTCTGTGTCTTCAGACTTGCTTCTTGACCCTTGAAACCAATTCTAAGTTCAGTTGAGGAAAGTTTTAAAAAAACCAAAGCAAACAATCAAAAACCATCAGCAGAAAGGAGTAGGACCCCCAGCAGTGTGCTGGTTTGAGCTGAACAGGTACAGACGGTACTCTACCGGGAGCACTGATGCCTAAAACCTTTGAAGAACAGAGCTTAAAGCGGCTTTTGTTCTTGAATTTGCTGAACTCTGATGAGTGCACATTTGAAATTACTACTAGAAGAAACTTCAGAAAAATGTGTTTTCTGGTTGGGCAACGTAAATCAAAGCAGAGCACAGGTTTTTCTGTGGTCTGGTGAGTGAATGGCTGATTTAAATCAAGTTCCAGTCTACCACATTCCTAACAAGGCTCTTCGTGCTCTTGAGAAATCTGCATTATTTATCAGTAATTCCTACTTCAGCTTTTACTGCTTCTCTGTCTCTCTTGCTCTCATGTGAGCATAAATGCTGTATGTTTACTCAAACACTCGTTGTTCTAAAGCTTCAAAACTGCCCGGATTCGTAGGAAGGCGGGGCTGCGGGTGTAGTGCCGGCCCTTCAGCCGCCAGGTGGCAGCGGGCGGGCGGCAGCGGCCCCGGCCCCGCGCAGCGGGAAAGGTGCGGCCGCCTGGGGCTGGGGGGCCTGCGGGGGGAACACGGCGGGGCTGAGCCGGGACAGGAATTCGCAATTTATTTGTTTCCTTGTACAAGAGCATTTTCTGAAAATACCCATAGATGCAATTCTTTTTCTGTTTACAAATCTTTACAGTCTTTTTTCTGGAGTATAGGAGAATCATAGAATATCCTGAGTTGGAAGGGACCTACAAGGATCGTAGAGCCCAACAATCACGCCGTGTACCTGAGAGCATTGTCCAAACACTCCTTGAACTCTGGTCGCTCTGTAACCACTTCCCTGGGGAGCCTGCTCAGTGCCCAACCACCCTCGGGGTGAAGAACCTTTTTCTAATATCTGACCTAAACCTCCCTAACACAACTTCAGGCCATTCCCTCAGGTCCTGTCACTGGTCACCGCAGAGATCAGTGCCTGCCTTTCCTCTTCCCATCACGAGGAAGTTGTAACTGCAGTGAGGTCTCCCCCCAGTCTCCTTTTCTCCAGGCTGAGCAGAGCAAGTGATGTCAGCTGTTCCGCATATGGCTTTTCTACACAGTCCTTCACCATCTTTGTAACCTTGCTTTGGATGCTCTCTTATAGCTTTATGGCAGGGTATGTCAAGTTTCCCCAAATGACTAAATGCAAATTCAAATAAAATATCACACTTTTAGCACATTTGAAATGTATATTTGGGCTTGGGATAATCTTCCCCTTTGCCAGAGGCTGGGGTAGAAGCATGCCCCTGACTAAATTACTGATTTGACTTCTGTCTCCACTAAAAGCACCACATCAAAGCTCAAATAAGGCTACACTCTACATAATTTTATTAGCTGTGATAAACCAAAGACAAATACAGAAATTTAACTTTTCAATCCTTTTAAACGTTTTTCTTTTCAAGTAATCACATGCTTTCTCTAGTGTTATCTTACCATTTGTTCATTCATGAACCATGTAGACTTAAATTTAGCGTGAAATAGAAATCAATGGTTACCATTCCTAAAACATTTTTTGCCATTTTTGTCATAGCAGTTTAAATGGAGCAATTTGTATAGTTTAAGTAGTAGTTTTAAAACCCATAAAAAGCTTCCTGTAAATTAAATTTGTGTGTTAATGCAATTTGCACTTCAAATGCATTTCTAAATTGATATGTTTTCCAGCTGAGCTGATGAGTTCATCAATTCAAATTGTAGCACTCAGAATGGTTGGCTTGTGCATGAGTCTTAAAAACACTTCTTCATCAACTAAAGCCTTAATTGAGCTGCTTCCACAAAGATATATTAATTTGCAGTTACTTGTGAGACGTGTACATACATATATGTGTGTATGTATGTGTGTGTGTGTATATATATATGAGTTCAGCTGCTGCTCCTAAATTGCTTGTCTTGAGCATCTCTGATGTGGTGCACTCTTCCAGATTTTATTTCCAAGACATTTTTAAACCAAGACGGGATTTAGCCAATTCCATTCACTCCTTTTTAACAATACAGTTTAGAAAACTCACAGAGCCAAAGACTTGGAGAGTTTTTTCACATGAGCTGCACAACACAAGCCAAAGCCACGGGCAGGTTGCAGAGTGGGAATACTCCAGCATTTGCTTAGTTTCAGGATGGCTGTGACAGTTCTTTCCCAAGTCACCCTGAGGTTGACTGTATCAAGTGTGAGGCTGGGACATTGCGTGATCCACTTCTGCTTGGCTGATGGATGTTCCCTTAGGGACTGAAGTCAGCCAGGAAAAAATACAGTTCACATTTAAATAGGACTGTGGCTTGAGCTGATGCAGACATGCTCTGAGGAGAAGAGAACCAGTTGGGTCTTTGACATTCCCTAACTTTTGCTGTATCCTGCACACAGTCCTGACAGTAATGTCTCCCCTAGGGGAAGGGATGAAGTATGCATTTTGGCTGTGTCCTTGATATAGAATAAAACTTCCCTAAATTCAAATTGTAGGCTAAAAGACTGTGGTTCTATCTCTCTTGAAAAATTTTAAATCTCAAGCAATACTCAAGGAATGCCATACTTTCCTCCTATTTGCTTCCCGATCAGCAGTCAAATGTTCTTAGTGTTGTTTGATTTATTGCTGCTACAACCATTCTGAATGCTATCAGAGAAGTTTTGCAAAACTAAGGTATGTAGCCTTTTTCTGAAGGGGTTGATTTGATGTGTATAGACAAAGGACAGAAAACCTGAGGTGTATGAGCCACAACTGTGTCTATTGTGGAGCTCTACCAACTTGTGCCCTCCTTAAAACTGCTTTTTATAAACTGCTGTAGCTGTTATATTTCCTCTAAATTCTGTTTCTTCCTTTGTATGGAAGTGTTAAGAAAAGACTGGACATTCAGTTACTGCCATGGCCTAGCTGACATGGTGATATTCAAAGGTTGGAGTCGATGATCTCAAGAGGTCTTTTCCAACCTCATTTATTCTGGGAATCTGTAACAATTTCTTGATAAAGATGTCTGAAAGATAGAAATAAAATGCAATAATCTGCCATAATTATAGCACATTGAATTGATCCTTTCCCACTGACATTAATTTTGATAACTTACACAGCCATTTGGAGTATTTTAATTTCCCTTCTTTAAACATTGTAAGAGGAACCTAAAAGATGAAGTCTATGACATTTGAGCTTCTCAAAAGAGTATATTTGGATATAACATTGGACATACTTTTATGTCTTTTAATTATTAGAAATATGAGTATACTTTTTTTTATACTCAGTAGTTTAAAGCCATATTTAGTAGACCTGTACTTACTGTTACGTATATGAGAATTATTTCAATGGCTCTAAAATATCCCTGATGTGATTTTTAGCTTAGTAATATAGCACTTTTTTTCCACCTGTGGAAAAGCCTGATTGCACTAATCTCTGTATCCAGTTCCACTGTGGCCTTTAGTACATTAGTTAATGATCACAGTGCCCTGAGTAACTTAATTCACTGTATTCACTTAATACTGCTTTGTCACCTTTCCTCAGACAACTGCTCTTGCTTTCTCTACATTGGCGAATCCTCTTTGTCCAGAAACTTCAACAAATTCTGACTCCACAGACCGTGAGGTCAAACATTGCCAGGTGGGAAAGGAAGCACAGTTCAGTCCTGGCCCACAACCTTTGTTAACCACCTGGTTAACAAAGTGATACTGTAGTAATTATTTTGCTCAAATCCATAATGGGCAGACTTTCCACCACAACCCCCAGTATCTCGCTGTACATAACAATAGTGGAGCTTGGACAAGCACTGTTATAAGGCCTCCTTCCTCCCAGTGAAATTAAAGAAAGCTTGAGTCAGATCCCATTGTGATTTGTTAAGCTTCTCCTGTTCACCACAGTCTGTTCTTTCCCTCTGCTGATGATTATCAGGACCAGCAGAAGGAAATGTTCGCCCACCCTCATACTCAGGCACGAAGCAGAGCGTCATTGATCAAAGTGCTGAGAAGATGGGTGTGAGCCAAGGCACCAGACTCTGAGCTGCAGTTGGTGAGGATATGAACACGTCTTCCATTCTGCTTATTCTGCCACAGTGAACACAATCTCCATCAGAAGGATGGGATATAACAGATGGAGCTATAACTTAAACCACTTTGTAACAGTTCCTA